CACTACAATAGATTTAAACAACTTAAAATAGCTACAAAGAAGATAACATTGTTACATTCCATCATATTTCAGGTATCTCAAACTGCTCAGATTTTCTCACCAAGAAATACTCAGGTCCTGAAATTCAAAAGACATTAACCTCCACACCATTCAAGAATCATTTCTTTTTAAATCTATAGGTACTTCACTCATTCTTTCATATTCAATCACAACCAATTGAACACCGGTTAACAAAAGACAACACAATATAGTTCCAAATCAAGTTTCATCATATTTAATATTATTACATTCAATAAATACTCAGAAATGAGGGGGGGAATGTCAGGTATTACATAACCAGAATAACCAATTATGCACAATTCATCAATACTCAACATTTCACATCAACTATAAGAAGAATCAAGAATCCACTAATTGTAACATTATATGTATATTAATAGAACATCGGAATTACCTTATATACACACAGTAGAGGATATTCTGTCATTTTTTGTGAATTCCCAAAATTGTGCTTTTCTTGACCAAAACAGAAAAAAAATCGTCTCTTGTTGGAAGAGCAAAAACAAAAACACCAAAAGATAAAACACACTCATCAACAAACACATCAATAAAAGCAAACCCCAAACAAAACAATACCCAGTTGTGCTCATCCATAGTATCAGCGACCTACCCACTCACTCCAACCAACCACTTGTCCCTTTTTACATTCCTCGCTCTTTGATTTTGAGGCTGCACATCCCAACAAAAGATTCAGGCTCGTTTTTGTTCCATATTTCACGGGATTTCGAAGAAACTAAGGATTTGAAGCCATAAATACCCACCTCATCATCACCAACAACGAAATCATTTATCAAAGTATTGCATCTTCATCATGTCAAGCAACCCCCCTCTTTTTCCCTTGGTCAACGCTGAAGTACCTTCAAGCTGCAGAATAAAGGATGATGATTTATATGTCTCAAGTAATGTTAACTCCAAGTTGAAAACACTATTTGCCTTGACTTCAGATGATGGAAATATCAAGCATAAGAAAAGAGCTGCTACAGATGAAGAATCGAGTTTGAATCATAACAACAACAAGCTCAATAATGATATCAAACGCCGTTTGACTTTGAAAGATGAGGATATAATGTCCCAAGATGGTATTGTTACAGATATTGGCCATGATCATGATGCTGGTTATGAAAGTGCTGTGGAAATGTCACAGATAACACCAACTGATACCACAAGTTGCAATACCAACAATAATAGCACAAATAGTCTCAATAACCCAAGAGCTACAACACCAACCCCTTCAACAATGAACTGCACCAACATAGATCAACAACAACAACAGCAACAACAACAACAACAACCTACAAATGGCATCAAAGATTACGAAAATAGTGAGCTACCTTTACCTTCCCCTTCCGCATCCCCTATACAGTCATCTTATGATGATTTGAATTTGATCACCCCAGAACCACCATTAACTAATTCTTTGGCAGTTATAGATTTTCTTGATGATCTTGCTACTGAATCTTTGAGCAAGAATGCTATCAATAATTTGATTTTCAGATTGATCACAAAAGCTGATAGAAGCACGTTAAGTGACTTTAGAGATTCAATAACCGAAGGTTTAAGACGAGATGTTATTTCAAATCTACCGCTGGAAATTTCATACAAAATCTTGAAATATTTGGATTATAAATCACTGAATAATATCTTGTTAGTTTCCAAAAATTGGAATAAACTAATAACTGGTGAATTTTGGAAAAATTTGCTGATTAAAGATAATTTCATAACCAGTGAAGAATTATTAGAATCAACTTCAAAATTGGTCAACAATCCTAATTATTATCAAAGCTTATACATTAAAAGATTTAAATTGCATCAAAATTGGACTGACCCTTCATTTGAACCAAGAAAAATTACGGTTCCAGGACATGGTGCTAACGTTGTTACTTGTTTACAATTTGATGATGAAAAAATCATTTCAGGTGCTGACGATAACATGATCAACATTTATAATCCAGATAATGGTGAACTTATCAAAATCCTTTCAGGCCACGAAGGTGGGGTTTGGGCTTTGAAATATGTTGGTAATCAAATTGTAAGTGGTTCAACTGATAGAACAGTTAGGGTTTGGAATCTGACCACAGGGAAATGTACACATATTTTCAAAGGTCATACTTCCACTATTAGATGCATGGAAATTGTTACAAATGAAGAAACAAATGAAAAATTCATTATTACAGGTTCAAGAGATAGTACTTTACATGTTTGGAGATTACCAGATGAAGATGATCAAGGTGAAGATTATGATGAAAATGATGTTATTAATCCATACTTTGTTTGTGTTTTGAGAGGTCATACCGCTTCAGTCAGAGCTGTCACAGGGCATGGAAATTTGATTGTATCAGGTTCTTATGATCATACAGTTAGAGTCTGGGACTTGAAAGAACAAAAGTGTAAATTTGTTTTGAGAGGTCATACTGATAGAATCTATTCTTGTCTTTTAGATTTGGAAAGAAATAGATGCATATCAGCTTCTATGGATTCAACGATAAGAGCCTGGAGTTTAGAGGATGGACATTGTATTGTTGAATTAACTAAACATACATCATTAGTTGGATTATTAGGGTTATCATCAAATTATTTAGTTAGTGCAGCTGCTGACGGTACATTAAGAGGTTGGAATCCAAATACTTATGATAATGAATTTACATTACATCATGATAACCATGCGGCTATAACTACATTCCATTCTTCTCCTAATATCTTAGTCAGTGGAAGTGAAGGTCAATTTAATGTTTATGATTTAAGCGCAAAAGGTGTGTTGATAAGGTCAAACCTTCTGGCTGATTCTGGTCAAATTTGGTCCGCAAAATTCAACTATTCAAAATGTGTTGTTGCAGTGGAGAAGAATGCACAAAGTTTTATTGAAATTTTAGATTTCAGTAAAAGTGCTTGATTTAAACGCTTCATATCTATAAGTTCTGATGAGTTCATGTGCAAAGAAAGATTAATGCAATTACATAAAGTTTATTACATCAAAATGTTTGTAGAGACCTTTATCAAATTTGACCAATCATGTTGTGTTTCCACACCTTATTTCGTAATGTCCTGCAAAACCCGATCACCACATCATCGGGGTGAAAAAAAAAAGTTATCGATTCGATCAATTTTATCAATTTTTTTCCTTAATTAAAAAATCTTTTCCTTCTCAAGATCTACACAGACATACAACAATGGCATCCAGCTCATCTGCTTTATTAAACGATGATATCGACAAAGTCTCTATCCATGACCACCTTGATATGAGAACTGAAGAAGAAAAGTTATTCGGCCCTCCTTTTGCTTACTACAAAAAGAAGAAGGCACCTTTGAACTTCAATTTGGTTATTGCTGGTGTTGTTTTCGTTATTGTTGCCGCTACTGACTTCTTATTAGCTACAAATATTGTCATTTATGTCAGAACTCTAAATCCAAACTCAACCAAAGATGCTGTTAGACACACTGCTGTTGTTTTAATGTCATTGGCTTTAATTTGGGTCACTTATAGATTCTCTGTTTGGTATGTCAAGAAATTTAAGATTAGAGATAGTTTGAAACAAAATAAACTATACCAAAGAATTGCTAATGAAGTGATAGAGATGGAGAACCTATTGGAAAACCCAGGTGAAAATGATAAAAGAGATTAGCACTATATAGCTTTTATGAATACGCTACGATTGTAATGCAGCCAAAACCGGTAGAGACAGTATTTTCGCGAACTCTGACTTTCAATTTACCCGCAAGTTGACGCGTATGGGAAAAATTAAGAAAATCATCAAAATAAACGCGTTAATTCAACAGATAAAGGGAGGCAACAAAACAACAATAAACCACTGATACACTAAAGCACAATAAGCCATGGGTAGACTAGTTGGTTTGGAGTTGCATAACTTCAAATCTTACAGAGGTACTGCTTCTATAGGGTTTGGTACTGCCCATTTCACAAGTATCATCGGTCCTAATGGTTCTGGTAAATCAAATATGATGGATGCTATCTCTTTTGTTTTGGGGGTTAAATCTCAACATCTTAGATCCAATCAATTGAAGGATTTGATTTATAGAGGACGGGTTATGGAAGGTGGTATTGAGCAATTAGATGAAAATGAATATAATGATGATGATCCTGAAAAAGCTTATGTTATGGCTATTTACGAAAAAAGTGATGGAGAAATCTTACAATTGAAAAGAACTATCAGTGCAAGGGGTCAAAGTGAATACAGAGTCAATAATAAAGTGATATCTGCGGGTGAATATTCAAATATTTTGAAGAAGGAAAACATTTTAATCAAAGCAAGAAATTTTTTGGTTTTCCAAGGTGATGTCGAACAAATTGCTTCACAATCTGCCGCCGAACTAAGTAAACTGCTTGAAACTGTCAGTGGATCATTAGGTTATAAAAGAGAATATGAGACTTTAAAAGATGAACAAGATCAAGCTAAAGAGGATACCGCAGGGATTTTATCCAAGAGAAGAACTTTGATTAGTGAATTGAAACAATATAAAGAACAACGTCAAGAAGCCGAACAATTCAAAGCAAAACTTCACGAGAAGAATAATCTAACCAAACTTTTAACTTTATGGAGATTGTACCATATTGAAGAGAAAAGAGAGGCTTTGGCTGAAACTTTTGATCAAAACAAACAGGTTTTAAAAGCTTTAAAGAATCAAATTGCAAAAGCTGAAGAAGAATTCAAATCAGTTAGATCTTTATATGCCAAAGAATCCTTGAAATTAAAAGACTATAATAAGCAAATTGAGAAAAAGAAAGCACAAATCGGTTCAAAGAAGAGAGATCTGTTACCAATAGAGGCTCAACAAGAGGTTATCAATGGTAAAATTTCTTCATTCTCAAAACGTATAAAGTCTTTGACAGCTGATGCTGAAAGACAAGCTACATTGGTTGCTGGTGTCGAAAAGCAAATTAAAGTTGTTAATAAGGCTAAAGCTAGTGCTGAAAAGGAATTCCAATCTAAGCATTCAAGTTCAAACATAACTCCAGAAGATCAACAAGAATATGAATCTTTGAAACAGAAATATTTGAGTGAGGGTGGTGCATCCGAAGAGGAACAGTTAAGTCTTTTGATTGTACAAAAGAATGAAATTCAAGCTATTTTGGCAACTTTGGCTTCACAAAGATCAATTTCAGATAATAGAGTTGAAGAGCTTAAAGGTCAACAATTAGAATTGAAAAATGGGTTGACTTCAGTTTCTACAGAGTTGAATGAACTTAATGAATTGCTCAATAACAAGAAAAATGAATTGAAAAATTTAAACATAGAGACTGAAAACTTCATAACAAAAGAATTTGAATTAAATTCAAGACTTAAAGAAACCTTAGTCAGCTTGGAGGATTTGAATGCTAATCAAAGAGAAACCAATAAGGAAAGAAAGCTAAGAGAGAATGTCAATACTTTAAGAAGATTATTTCCAGGTGTTAAAGGTTTACTATCAGATTTATGCCAACCTAAACAAAAGAAATATGAACTTGCAGTTTCCACTATTTTAGGTAAGAATTTCGATTCTGTGATTGTTGAAAATTCTGTTATTGCACATCAATGTATTACATATTTGAAAGAACAAAGAAGTGGTGTTGCTAGTTTTATCCCTCTTGACACTATTGAAGCTAGAGCTATTGATTCTCGTTTGCGTCATATTGACGATCGTGCAAGACCAACTGTTGATATAATAGATTATGACTCTTCATTGGAAAGAGCAATACAGTATGCTTGTGGTAATTCAATGGTCTGTGATAATATTGAAACAGCTAAAGAATTAAGATGGAGAAAAAACGTTGATGTTAAGGTCGTCACCTTGGATGGGTCATTGATTCATAAAGCTGGTCTAATGACTGGTGGTCGTTCCAGAAATGATCAAAGAAGATGGAATAAAACTGAAGTTCAAAACTTGACAAAACTTAAGGATGATTTACAATTTGAAATTGGTCAACTACAAACTAAAAAGCCAAACTTTATGGAAGTTAAGACTTTGGAAAATGAACTGTTTGAGATTGAATCTCAAGTTGCTTTAGTTAGAAGAAGGAGAGTTGAATTGGAAAGATCTATTCTGAATTTTGATGCTGAAATTAAGTACTATAGTCAGTCAAGTGATGTGGAAACTAGACGTAAAGAAGAAGAATCAAAATTAACCAACGTTAACTCACAAATTCAACAACAAGAATCAACTATATCTAAGCTACAGAAGGGTATTTTTAAAGATTTTTGCTCAAGACTTGGTTTTAAGGATGTTAAAGAATATGAAATTAATAGTGGATCCAAGTTCAGAGAACAGTCGAAAGAGTTGAAACATTATCAATCCGAACTTTACAAGCTTCAAAAGAAGTTAGAATTTGAACAAGAACGTTTTAATGAGACTAATAAACGTGTTGAAAATATTGAAAGTCAAAAATCAAGTTATGAAAAGAATTTGAAACAATTAACCAAAGAAAAAGATTTGATCAACGATGAAATTGATCGTTTGGAAAGTGAATTAGAAGTTACTACACAAGAATTGGCAGATTTTGAAAAGTCCATTGAAGAGAAATCTCTTGAAACTAAGAAAGCTGAGGATTTATTAGGTGAATATAATTCAAGTTATGAAAACACAAAGAAAGAGCTCGAGTTAACTCAACAAGATATTGAGAAATATACTGAGGATAGAATTGGTGTTTTGAAGAATTGTAAAATTGAAAATATTCAAATCCCGTTGTCGGAATCATCATTAGATTCTTTACCTATTGATAATTCTGAAGAAGTTTTTGAAGCTGCTGATAACATTGTGATTGATTATGATCTGTTGTCAACCAGATATCGTGAAAATAATAATGAAGTTATTGAGAATGAATTTTTGGAGAAATTATCAGATATAACGAAAGAATTGGAAACTTTATCACCAAATATCAAAGCTATTGAAAGATTGAATGAAGTTGAAAAGAAGATGGATGATATTGATAAGGATTTACAAAGGGCTAGAGGTCAAGAATTGAAGATTGTCAAAAGATTCCAAGAGGTAAAAAATAAGAGATATGAATTATTTATTGATGCATTTAGTCATATTTCTGAAAAGATTGATCCTATTTATAAAGAACTAACCAAGGCTAACAATTCTGCATTAGGTGGTGGGTCTGCTTATTTAACTCTAGAAGATGAAGATGAACCATATCTTGCTGGTATAAGGTACCATGCTATGCCACCTATGAAAAGATTCAAAGATATGGAATTTTTATCAGGTGGTGAGAAGACAGTTGCAGCTTTAGCATTATTATTTGCAATTCATTCATTCCACCCTTCACCTTTCTTCGTTTTGGATGAAGTTGATGCTGCTCTAGATAACTCAAATGTTAACAAAATTGCCAATTATATTACTAAACATGCTGGTCCAAACTTCCAATTTATTGTTATTAGTTTGAAGAATGGGTTATTTGAAAAATCAGATGCTTTGGTTGGTATCTATAGGGAACAAACTGAGAATAGTTCAAAGACCTTGACGCTCGATTTGAGATCATATCCTGAAGTTGCTTAGATCCAACTTTTGTCTACGGTTAAAATTTTAATGAATGTAATTAGCTTTTTCTTTACTTGTAGCCATGTATATTAATCCGTTAAAAATTCCCATAAACAAATCATCAATGATATAATTGCTTGTATTCATTCAAATCTTGAACAGTTGTTGCACTTCCACCGCAAACAATGACAACAATAATATCATTTGGTTTCAAATCATCAAAGAAATCAATATTCTTCTCAATCAACTTGTTATAAACGCTGCACAAAGCAACACCGCATGCTGGTTCAACGATGATATTGAGATCATTGGCAAATCTTATACAAGAGTTTGCTGCGTCTGAATCAGTAACCAATAGGTTTTTAGTCTTATGGGTATTATAGTATTCCAATGTCTTTGAAGAGACATATGGACAAGCCAATGAAGTTGCAATAGTTTTACAACTCTTTATGACCACTTGCTTATTAGCCTTTATAGATTCCTCAAAAGTTGGACAGGAATCAGTTTCTAGAGTTAAAATTGGGACATTGGATAGGTTGTTTCTTCTTAATCCTTGAACCAATCCATTATATAGTCCACCACCACCCATAGAGCAAACAACCCCTTTCAATTTATCCAATTCATTTCTTGCCGCCAATTGGTCAACAATTTCATCAACCATAGAGGAATGGCCATGCCATATAGCTGGGATATCATAAGGGTGACAATAGATTGGTACCACATCTTCTCCTAGACTTGGAATCAAAACATCTCTTAGATATTCAGCAGCTTCACCAATATTTTCACCTTTCACCAAGACAGTGGATCCATTCCGTTCAATCTTTTGTCTCATTTTCAAGCTTGTAGCTTTTGGAATAACAACTGTGGATTCCAAATTATAGAAATTTGAAGCGCAAGAAACAGCGTTACCAGCATTACCACCAGAAGCAGCATAAACATGAATTTTCTTGCCATTGTTTGCTGGGTTTGCTTTGATTTCATCTAAAGAAGTCTTTATCAAGTTGGACAATCCACGGATCTTATAACTTCCTGAAGGTTGAATAAATTCTTGTTTCAAAAAAATTCTACATGGCGCTTCTTTTGTCAACTCCTTAGAATCCACTAAAGGAGTCTTAATATATGGGACTTCTGTATGTTTAGCAATTGTCATCTTCACAATTTTAGGTATAGTGTAAGGACGTTTGTGAGACTTGTTTTTTGATTTTGACTTGTTGATCTAATACCTAATTGACTAGCTTTGTGTCAAACGATTAACTTAAAGAGAGGAAATCTAGAGATTTCACATCCTTTATAAGGCTCCTTTGAAGTTGGAGATATTGGGATACTGAATAGAGCAACAAACTGTGTTCAACATCGGATAGAGAAGGATTGTTGAGCCTGAGTGAAATGTTTTCAGCTCTAGCCGTTGTTATCAGCTCCAAAACTCCACTGAGTCAAAACCAGGTCAAGCTCCGGAGTCAAAATGGGTAGAAAAACCTCATCGGCAAGCGAATTTTTGTGACACAAAAGCGCGTTGGTTACCTGAAATATAAAAAGTTTTTGAGTTGTGTTGAAGATAGCTCAAATTGAGTTGTGTGTTTAGAGATGAAAAGTACCACTTCTTACAGTCTGTTTGTTTAAGCTCAGCTTCCAACGGTCCTTGGTAGGCTGACAGCAGTCAAAAGTTGTATCCTCTACACATACGCCCGATGGCTTGTTGACATTTGAGCCTTTCACATCTACGGCAGCATATTCACCAAAGCTTTGATCCCAACTTACAAATCATATGTAACAACCGTGTAGTCATTCACCACGGATTCCATGACTACAGGGGATATACTTGTATATTATTGATCAGTTAGATGAACGGTTTGTTTTGGATGTTAATGATTACGTTCTACATTGGTTGTTGTTGTATCTGTTTGTTTTGGGTGGTTGCTATAGTATTTTGAGGCTAAAAAATATGTGTTTTTGAACCCAATTATTTGTAGAACATGATTTAATGATAGTTTGTGTGTTTACTTGGGTGGATATCATTGATGATTGATGGTTTTACTTATACATAGTGGATTTTGGCGTTATGGCCACTCATTTCACGTGACTAGATCTTGAGTTCTTTCAGCTAATTATTTTTATTATATCTGAAAGCCAAATATAATAGTTCAAGTAGCAGAAGCATCTCACTGTATGCTCTAACTATTATACTAGTTGTAATTAAGCGCAAATTTGTTTAGAAACAGGTTCATCCTGTGAAATTTGGCGTCGTCGCGGACTGGTCACATGACTAAATTTTCAAACGAAAATAATAAAACAACATTGTATGATACCAGTATGAATTGAGTAGATTTTTACAGTCTGTGGCTTCTGAAGTTAATAATAATGTATCATTCTTGTACCTATTTCACAATGTAATTTTTTTGATTTTTGAAATTTAAAGAATTTTAACGACGTACCTATCTGTATTTTATAAAACAAATAACGGTATATCTACATTTATTTGAAAAGTACTTTTCTTTTTTCACCCTAAAAATACATTTATCGTAGAGGAAATTCAAGATTATTAAGAAAACAGGACTTTGATATATATATGGCCTAGCAAAGTATGTGGAATAATGTTGCTTGAAAATTTGAATTTCGAGTGGTACTAGTAGTACTAGTTTTTTTTTTCATTTTCTCATAGTTAAGTTCTGCCGCGAAAACGCGTGCTAACAAATACACAAAGAACAATAAGCACAAAATACGGAGTTCAGTTCGTATGCTGGTCTATTGAAATCGGTACCATTATGATCTTTGGAAGCTAGAGATGAAATTGATATACATAAATAATCTTTATATTTGAAATTGGAAAATTAACCTGTACACAGTTAACTATGGCACAAGCTTCGTGTTTGTTCGAACCACCAAATTTTTTTCAATCAGGGATCCTTTTAAAAGCTTAGAGACCGTATAAATTAATGGTTCTCATTATTTACTACAATTTATTACGATTATATAGTTGGTTCCTTTTGAATTAGTTGTTCTTATGCATAAGACGCGTTTTGAAATTTCTACACATGTAAGTTCACTACCAAATTAACAACCATCAAAACCAAGGCAACGCTGTTGTAACGAGCAACAACAACCAATGGAAATGGATAAATCATACCCGATTTCTTTCCAAGGGTACGTGAACTATTAAAACTCGTTTGTTATTTGATTTAATATCAATATTTTACACATTTACCCGGACTTAAAGCACGCATGTTTTTCGATCTGGACTATCCACGACCAAAACCACTCAAGTTAGGATCTTTGGCCGAGTGGTTTAAGGCGTTCGACTCAAGATCGAATATCGTAAGATGCAGGAGTTCGAATCTCCTAGGATCCAATAATTTTTTTTTGTAAATTTTGCAAATTTTTTTAAATAGAGAGGAGAGAGAGCAATAAGAATACTACAGCCAGATACTAGACATTTAGCTGTCTATACTGATATACATTAGCTTTGGGTTTCGTCGTTGTCTCGTTGTTTTAGTTGAATCATAAGTCATTTCGGGTTTCCGATATCATCTTGTTTAATTAGCTTCCTCAATAACTTTGAATTCCACCTATGTATTTTAACGAAAAGCTCATCGTCACTTAATAATTCAATTAAACTTTTGGAATGCTGTACTTTACCTCTTAAAAAGATTTCATTATTTTTTGAATTTTGCAGTTCAATTTTGATGCTTGATTCTTTCAAATAATCAATTATGACAGTAATGTTCTCCACAATGAGGTCCCAGTTTTGTAATATGGCTGCCTCACTCTCACTATTGACTATGAACGAATACCTTCTCTCTGATCCTCTTGCTTCTAAATCTTTGATCTTGAAACTTTGAGTAATTGAATAACCTCTAAACTCATCTCCGAAATACATGGGTTTGGAATCATAAACAGTGGACTCTTCCGATAAACATTTCCTCACTATACTATTCAATAGCCTAAATTTAACACCGGAATACTGCGTCGTGATGAAAATATCCTCACTTTTAGGGTCTTGAGTTCTCAACGTTGTCAAATTCTCTCCAGAATATGATTTTGGGAACATCAACAAACAAGACTTGCAATAAGATTCTTTGGAGAAGCTTGGAAGTATGAACTGATCCACCTGGTCCACAGTTGTTGTCTGAGTACATAATATAGATTTGGGGCCATGTTTATCACAGAAATGGGCTAGTGTTATACTAAAACTCATGGTGTTTATTGTGCTGTCGTTTGTTGACATTTTTTGGTTTTGATTTGTTGTGTTTTTTTTTTGAAAGGGAAAAGAAAAATCAACAACCAATTGACATAATCTTCCTCAAATATCCTTGACTTTGATAAAGTTGGGTTTTGGCTTAGAAGAACCGGATCATAGAGTTCCAACAGAGTGATGTCCATACGGTACGACTCTACTGAGGTAACTGGGCTCAATGTCAATGTGGAGGGTTGTATAATACATCCAACAAGAGTTCGTATCTCTTGAATCTGTTATCAAAGATCAATCACTAACCTTTCAGCGTCGTCTAAGACATGTCACAGGAATCTATTTGAGAAACCTATCCACAGACTCATCAATTGATGGCCAACAACGAAGAAAATCGTCAACTACAACACCAACCACCCCAACAAAGGCAAGCAGAAACACAAAAGAACAGATCATAGGGTTCGAAACACCATTAGAAAGACAACTTCATCTTCAAAAGCTTAATAATGAAAAATTCCTTAATGTATTTTGTTCATTGCATTTCCTCAATGACAAAGATGAAAACCAATGCTTTTATGTCAGTGAAGTTAGAGACAGGTCATTGAATGCTGATTTTCAAGAGTTTAGTTTATCATCTTTGAAAAATTCCAAAGATCAACAATTTACATTGAAAGTTTGGTCCAGTAATTACAGGAATCCAGATTCATGGAAACTACTTATAGACATTGATGCAAGACTCCCCAATTTGCTGTACATAAACAAAACTATGGATTTGATCAACATAGACACAAAAAATAGCATATTTATTTCCCTATATGATGGTGTTTATTTGCTACCCAATGAAGAATTCAACCTGAATGAATATCTCCACCTTGCATCAAACTCAACACAGCTAGGTAATGAATCAAAGCTGAAAGTTGTATCATTCACTTATGATTTGGTGTTAAAGTTAAATAATTTACAACTAGTTGTGGAAGATCTTATTAAAACAAAAAAAGATTATCAAAGCAGATAGAAGAAACATTAGAAGACTCACAAAGCATAGATACATTTAAAATTGAAAAAATTAAAGCTGCTATAGAGAAACAAAAAGAACTCAATAAACAGAGGAGACAAAAGTTGGAAGAATTAAAAAAGGAGAAGGCTAAAAAATTGAAAGAAATAGAAAAAAGGCAATCTCGAAGCACTATATCCTCAGAAGAGTTTATCAAGATGAAGGAAGAATTTAGTTCATCATTGATCAAGCATGAGAATGTCTTGCAAGAATTATTAATTGAACGAGCAAAAGTTACTAAAATAGTTGCAAAGATCTTTCCTAGAGACGATATTCGTGAATGGCTAAATGTTCGAGATTTTGAAATTCTACCTGAACAATTAAGTCAAAATGAGTTGACAAAACTAATCAATACAAATGATAAAGTTGTTATTGAGCAGATAAATGCAAGTTTTGGATATTTGTGCCAAATTGTTTATTTGTTATCTCATTATTTGGCAATCCCATTAAAGTATCAAGTTCAACCATTTGGAAGTACATCATACATCATTGACAAGATTAGTAAGATTAATCAAAGGACAATTTTTCCATTATTTAATACAACACATTATTATAGATTTCAGTATGGGGTCATGTTATTGAATAAAAACATTCAAGATATATCAAAAGAAGTTTATAACTATTGAAAATTTACAACTTTTTTGTTTTGCACTAATGTTTGTTGATCAAAGATTTCATTAGGTGTTGTTTCTAATCTTTTATAAGTTTTAACAGTTGCATCCGATGTATCAATATCGAATATTCTCAATCTTCTTGTTGTTCCACCATAACCTCCATAACCACCTTCTCCTGATCCACCTCCATAACATAACCATAACTTATTGTTCAGTTCAGCATTTGAATCAAGTAGACAATAATCATTACAATGATCATGACCAACAGAGACAATTGAAACCCCAATCTTTGCAAATAAATCTCTTGCATAAGTGTTGTATTTTGGTGCTGTTATACCCTCTTTGTAATTACCAATGAATGGCTGATTATTTAAATTTTTGTATTCAGGTAATGGAATATGGAATAGGGCAAACGATAGATGATTTTCATGCGTTTCAAGAATAGATTCATGTTGACGTTGAACAAACAGTAATTGATTTTCCTTAATCCAATCATAACCTGGATTAGTCTTTGGTCTTGGTGAATATTTGTGAGAATCCAACACATAAAATGTTAACAAATTTGTCTTTTTATCATTATCTTTCACGGAAAATACATAGTTCCCAACACCATCAACGTTAGAAGGACCTGCTTGAGCTAATGAATAAGGTGCGGCTTCAATCAAACTCATCAGTTGTTCTCTTGTGAGGGAGCCTTCATCGTCATGATTACCAAACATCACGGCATACGGTATTTTTCTTTTGATAAATGGGTTTAAAACTTTCAACATTGTTGTTACAGAATCAAATGAATCATCACCAAATACTTGATCACCGGTTAAAACCACAAGATCTGGGGTTTCGATATCTAGGACAGACTCCAAAAATTTCAATGTTCGTTTATCAGCTTTACAGTCAGCAACTTCAGGGTATTGATCACGACAAACACCTTCATCTGTACTGAAATGTAAGTCAGCAACTTGTAATACTTTAAAACGAGCACCTGCATCTATCTTGAGCTTTGGCTTCTCAACTTTGGTCATTGGAGAATGCTTTAATGTAATATAAGCAGGAACTTGACCTGATAATCCTTTGATAGGTTCTTTTATCAATTCCCACTCTGGTCTTGGGTCAACTGCATCTGCACCAAACAAGACATCAACGTTATAAATGTATTTTTCTTCATGTTCTTTGTTATATTTTTCATGTCTATAATTCCATCTAGAATCTTCTGTTTCTGATAGCCTAAAATCTGTAATGACTTCAGTATTCTCATCCAAACTCTTGAGTGGCAATTTCCTTATAAATATGTATTGCTGTCTCAACTTTGAGGATTTTTTACCATTGTGGTTGTAATTTAAAGGTTTGGGTATTTTATACCAATTCTCAGCTGGTTGACAATGCTCATTACCGAAAAGTGAGCATGTTTTAAATTCAACATCAGTGACTATGAATCCTTCTTGATCATGAAAGTTGAGGTTCTTTGGTAACGATGGTTGTTGGATTCTTAGATATGTGAACACAAGTGATACAAGAGCAAACAAGATAAAAACGTAGGTGAAAAGCCTGGTCAAGCTTCGTTTGAGCACCATTGTAAGCTTTCCAGTGATTGGGTAATGGTGGGAAATACGCCTTTGATTCGTTGACAGTGTATTATCTGTTTGTTTGTTCTATTGTACTTGTCTTTTTTTTTGTTTACATCGCGTTTCCAGCTTGAATCACAGCAAAACAAAATCATCAACACCAAAAAATTGTCTACTAAACGTCAAAAGAACGGCCTCCTCAACTTCTACAAATAAGCAAAAGATGGAATTTAATAAGTCATAACTCGTGTATTGTTCATCAAACTCATAACCGTGAAATACCCATATTCAACATACCCAAAATACTACTTTGAGGATGGTCTATGTCCACTATTCATAATCAGTGGATTCTGTTGGCTTCCACTGCCATGTGAATGGGCTCCAACTCGGTTTCCAGGTTGGTGAGCTGGATTGAGACCGTGTGGTTTGTTGATGCTATTCAAGGGAACCTTTTTGTCTCCTAATTGGACCTGTACATCCTGCCCTTCCAGTGGATCCTTGTAATCAGCTTCTTGATTATTGCCACTCATTTTTAAGTATATTGATACCTTTAATGTGGTTTGGTTCATCTCAAAAGATGAAATTGTTTTGAAATGAATTGCCATTTGACGTTTTTTCTCCAGACTCAACTCTGCCAATATACAGAGTGTCATTATCCTATAGCCCTACGAAGTTCCGAGCCTCACAAATGACCTTGAAAGATGGGGAGACGTGCTAATGATTACAAGTTCCAATACCAGTGATCCCATTTAAACATTCTATTTAACCATCAACTAATACAACCTTTGTAGGCTATACTATCTCGAAAAGTATGATTCTGCCAGATCTGTGATTACATAAGTTTCGCGACACCGTGTTGAAATCTTGAAACCGCCTACAAAGAGTTGAGCTTCTCCAAACATATGAACATTAAGATTTAAAGTCCAAATAAACGCTAAAAATGAGCACCACAGAGTGAGTCATGCTTTTTTCAATACTCGAATTATATTCAGTACTAACAATTGGAAGCTCTACTGATCTTTTGGACTGGTTACAGACCTTAAGATTGGAAAGCTATCATGAAAACTTTCAAGGTGAGTTGACATTCCACTCCATAACATCCAACTTGAACCTAGCCAAACTAACACCAATTAGACAATAATATAACATTTCAAGAACTCAAATTCATAGATTCAAGCATACTAAAGGATATAGGTGTAGCAAAGATTGGTGATAGATTGAAACTCGAGCTAGAGATCAAGAAATTCAAAGATTCGCAATCACTTTCATTAATAAAGGCTGATGAGCTCTTCAGTCAGATTACTGCCAAAAACCCAAAGAGAGCAAGCAGACACTCTGCATTACTTTCCAATAATAACAGGTCTGAATTTAGATTGGATCCACCTCCACAAAAGAATGAAAAATCGTTGGTATCATTTATTCTACAAAACGGGAGTACTGTCAAGATAAATGTTAGTGGATGTTTCAATGCAACTTCAATTAAAAAGAAATTGATCAAATTCTTAGACTTCCCTAACAAAAATCCAAGCTTCTATGATGTTTACCTTACAGATGCAATTGGTAACTTACATCTATTATTTGACGTGGAACTAGTCACTATTTGTCACTCAAATGATCGCATAGAAAAATCAAGAATACTATTTTGTCCAAAGAACGAAACTCCTTCACCAGATGCAATTGAAGTTTCCAAGAGATACGTTTCAAAAGAACCTAAAAAAATTGAAAATAGTGATTCATATGAACAACCAACATCTCAAGATAAACAATTCAGAAGTATATTTGGACAAAGACCTTCAAGCCAACTTATATCTACAAATATTTCACAATATTTCCCTGAGGCAAATCAAGAAAAACTACAAAAAACAATACGAAACTCTGTCAGATATTCAATCAGAATGTCCACTTTTGGTGATGCAAGAAATTTGAAATCAACTGTTGGTGATGTGCTTGTTGGGAACACAAACCAAATCGATCGTGCAAGATTTTCAACTATTGGAACAATGGATTCATTGAATTTGAAATCAAGTATGGATCAAGAAAAACAAAGATTCTCCATCGCAAGCTCCATAACATCTGATAGAACTTCTAAAATTGAATTGTTTGATGTGGATTCTGATAGTGATGAAGAAGAGTTTGTTTCAAACACTTTGAACAATGTTCAATTATCATCAGGTCCAACAAATTGGTTGAAAGGTGCCAGAATTGGATCAGGTAGTTTTGGTACTGTGTACCTAGGTATGAATGCTGTTACTGGTGAATTGATGGCCGTCAAACAAGTTGAATTAAGGCCTTTGGCTGATGATTCTGGCAATGATGGTCAAGCAAGTAATAAAGAAAATAATAATCAAGTACACCAAAAGATAATTGAAGCTTTGCAGCATGAGATGACATTGTTAAAAGAACTACATCATGAAAACATTGTCACTTATCTAGGCTCAAGCTCTGATGATGTTCATGTGAATATTTTCTTAGAGTATGTCCCTGGTGGATCTTTGAGCTCTATGCTTACAAACTATGGTCCTTTTGAAGAACCTTTGATTAGAAATTTCACAAGACAAATACTAATAGGTGTCAATTATTTACACTCGAAAAACATTATACATAGGGATATTAAAGGTGCAAATATCTTGATTGATATTAAAGGTGAAGTTAAAATATCAGATTTTGGTATTTCCAAAAAATTAACTTCAAACACCAACATTTCCAAGAGGGCTTCATTACAAGGTTCAGTTTATTGGATGGCTCCAGAAGTTGTCAAACAAATAGCAACAACTGCAAAAGCAGACATTTGGTCTGTGGGCTGTTTGATAGTTGAAATGTTTACTGGTAAACATCCTTTCCCAAATTTCAGTCAAATGCAAGCCATTTTCAAAATTGGTACACATAATACACCGGAAATACCAAAATGGTGTACTCCTGAAGGTAGAGACTTTTTAGAACAGACATTTATACTGGATTATGAAAAAAGACCAGGTGCTGCTGAACTATTGAACCACAGTTTTTTAAACTCTTTATTGGTCGGTGGTAAATAAATGCTCCATTATCAATATTTATTACGTAGACAAGCTACATTTCATTGAACTTGAATTACGTATTTCATAAACACTCATATTTGCTCTTTACTCCTTTGTGATAACTCTGCTTCTAATCGTCTGATTTCTTCTTCCTCCTGTGCTATTAGATCTTTTGCAGACTTCTTTTTTGGTTGTGTCTTTTCTGTCCCGAGTTCCCTATCATTCAATGATATGTTTAACATGGATAGTTGCCTTCTTTGTTTCTCTATTGTCTCTTCATGTTTCATGATTTCAGAATTTAACAACTCCCATTTTCTTACATAGTTTTCAAGCTCTTCATTAACGCCATCAATAGGACTAAGAGCTTAGGTTAGTATTCTGATCTCTAGTAGTATACAACAAACAAACTCACTATTTTTCCAAAAGTTGTCTAACCGTTTCACACAACACATCAACATCATAATCACCTTGATTTGCTTCATTAAATTTCTTCAACAAGTTCTTTACACCTTTACTTTGCTCTGAAGATTCAACTGTTGTATCAATCTCTTTAGGTACAAGGACAACTGAAGGTCTATTAAATTCTGTTTGGTAATTCTGTATTTCATTACCGTCACTGTTCAGCTGTTGTTGGATCTCTAAATTTTCAAACTCATCATTCAAATGGTCCACCACACCTCTAGTACCATCAACTCTTTCAGCTTTTCCCTGTGGATCAACGTGATATAGTGTGTTTTCATAATTATCAGCATCTCTTAAAAGTGTAGTTATATCTGGTTTTGAAATTAGGGCATTTGTGAAAATGCCTGGTGGTCTGAAGTAAAGTGTTTTCAATGAGTTTGCACTGTTATTTATTGATTCTAAGTAGCTCTGTAGGCCTGACATTTTGGTATTAGATCTATATTGTCTTCATAAAGCTTGAAAGCTGTAACCTTTTCGTGTTTTTGTTTGTTTTGATTTCGTTTATTATTGGTCGGATGAAAAGGCATCACGTGAAATTTCTCGACACTGTAATTTTCTGCCTAAATTTTAACTGGGACGAGCCTAGCACGATCGCGATCTAGGCAGAGGCCTCACCAGAATGTTGCTGTGCGTGCTTGAACCGGCACCCTTCAAATGAATTTTGAAAGAAAAAAAAATTTGAGATCAGTGTGAAACGTAAACATGACTTGAAAATATCAAACAACAAACAACCAAGTTCTCATCAATTACAAGTCAACAAGATGTCTCTTGAAAACTCAAAGAGGCCCAATGAGTCATCTGAAGTCAATGGCAATGGTACCTTAGGCCAACGGAAACGTATACGGACAAGTAAGGATGGTGAAAGACCTCAAAAGAGAAGACTGTCATCGAGTTCCGATGGCCAGCAACTAAAGATTCAACATATATCAACAAGTGCTTCAAGACCTCCAATAATACCGTTAGCACCATCTCAAAGATTAGATTTACTAAAGAGAAGACAGAGATGGAGACAAACCAACTTTTACAATTCAAGAAACCACCTTGCTGGAAGCGGTTATTCAAGTTCAAGATCAACTAGAGAACCATCAGTCGAAACAGGAACGCTAGTTTCTATTAATTCTAAGGCATCACAATCCAATTATGTTGAAGCATCTACACAGACAGACTCAATACCTTCTTTGAAATCAAGAACTATACAACGTGCTAAACCTTCACAGGTAGATTCAAAAACAGCATCAGGTGTTTTCTCTGGAGAAATTCTATATGATTCAGATGATTTGAATGAAGGTAAAAACAAAAGTCCAGTTAAGTTTCCAGACTCTAAATCAAGTCATAACAGGGCAGTTCCAGTTTCTTCCGGTACCCTGAATGCTTTAGTTAATGACAAAAAGAAAATTACACAAGTTGAAAAACCAAAACAAATCGTTGAAGAACCTGTTAAGCAAAAAGAACCTGTTGAACCACCGGTAAAGGAAGCATCAGTCGGACCTAGTGCAGGCTTCAACTTTTTGAATTCTAAACCAAAGAAGATCGAAGAACTAGGTGATACTGAGCAAGAATCAAAAGAGAAAGAACCAGTGCCCTCTTTCTCATTTGGAGCGCCTAAAGATACTTCAAAGGATTCTCCAGCTGCTAACAAAACTTTCTCATTCGGTGCAAAGATTAGTGACATCAAAGAAACGTCAACTCCAGCATTTTCATTCTCTTCGAAAGTCGAAGACAAAGAAAAGCCGAAGCCAACGTTTTCATTTGGATCCAAACCTGAATCTCAAAAGGCACCAACATCAACATTATTTGGCTCCAAACCAGAAGCATCTAATTCTGAAGAAACAAAAGGTGCTGCAAAACCTACATTTTCTTTCGGGAACAATAGTTCTGAAGCACCATCACTATTTCCAAAAGATAAAAAACAAGATGAAGCAAAACCAGCTCTTTCATTTGGCTCCACTTCAACTACGATAAACCCTGCATTCAACTTTGCTCCAAAAAAAGTAGAGTCCACAGAAAAAGAACAATCAAAACAAAAAACTCCAGCACTTTCTTTTGGTGGTGCTTCAAGCAGTACTGCTGCCCCTGTACCTTTATTCGGTGGAAAGAAGCTTGACGATAATAGTTCAAAACCTTCATTCAACTTTGGAGCCAAAGCTACTGAAAATACCAAAGAACAGACATCCAGCCTTTTTGAAAATAAACCAGCTCAATCTAATGCTAAACCATCATTTGCATTTGGGGAGAAACCAAAGGAAGCTAGTGAAAAACCAGTATTCTCATTTGGCACAAATGCTGACCCTAAAAATGAAGTTTCTAAACCATCATTCTCAATTGGTGCTCCAGCAAATGGGTTTTTGGGAACTGAGAAAAAGGATGACAAACCAGCTACTGAAGGAGAACCAGAGAATAAGAAGCCAGCATTCAACTTCGCTCCTGCCGCTTCCTCGTCGAAGCCAACCATCAATTTTGGCTCTTCAACCTCGGTTGAAGCCTCAAAACCTTCACTTGGTAGTTTTTTCAAACCCTCAGGATTCAATTTTGGTGCACCATCAACAACAGAGACAAAGGAGGAACCAGCACCGAAAAAGACAGCATTTTCATTGGGAGAAAGTTCAAAGCCTTTATTTGGTTCTTCATCTACACCAACCACGGAAAAACCAGCCTTCTCATTCAGCCCGGCACCACCAGCACCAGCAACGCAATCAACGACATCAACAGCTCAAGAGAATAAACCAACATTTGGATTTGGAAACAGCACAGCAGCCGCTCCAAGTAAACCTTTGGGATTCAATTTTGGTCAAACAACAAAACCTGAACTTAATCCAAAAAATAGTGGTCCTACTGCTACTACAAATTCAATTTCTGCTTTCAATTTCAATGCTGGAGGTTCCACACCAGCCCCAGCATCTGTCTTTGGTCAACCACCAGCTGCACAAGCTTCATCCACGCCATTTAATTTCGGTGGTGCTGCAAAACCACCGTTTCAAGGGGATGCTCAACAATCAACCGCTTTTGCTAGTGGCTCGACGCCATTTGGCAATAATAGCCCAGCCGTGAACCCATCCTTTGCTACAGGTAACAATGTGAGTTTTAATTTTGGTGCTTCAAATGGTGCTTCAAGTACACCGGCTGCTATCTTTGGCCAACCACAACAACCAGCTTTTGGTTCAAATCAACCACAACAACCTTCAACCGGATTCAATTTTGGAGGTGCACAACCACCTGCATTCGGAGGTGCTAGTACACCTTTTGGAGGTGCCAGCTCGCAATTTGGAAGCCCCGCTGTTGGTACACCAGGTACACCTTCTCAACAACAATCTAGAGTTCCTGGAAGAAAAATTGCACAAATGAGAACTCGTCGTCGTTAAGACACTAAATAGATCAATACCCTTAATTGTATGAATAAATATGTACTACATGTAGGCTTGATTAAAATTAATATATTAAATGTTTCGTAACCTTATTGTCATTAAAAAGAGAAATATCATTATAACTTTTGGACTTCTAGTTGGGAAGATTGAAAAGACATTGGTCTTTCAGCTTCAACCTTTGTGTGTAGTGAACTAACTTCAGAACTGTTCTCGAAATCTTGGACAGTTTTTATTGAGCTTGTTTCACCTTGATTGATACCATATTGTGCTTGGACTGCTAATTTCTTGGACACAAAATAATCAACAACCTTTCTTCTTTGCTTGATGCCTAATCTTGAATATGGAAAAGCATTTGGCTTTGTGAAAGCAACAATATCAAGTATCAAATAATGATCTGATAAGACCTTGTTGAACAACACAGGTACCAAGGAAGATAAATATCTGCCTCTAATACTATCAATAACAGCAATAACAAACCCACCAGCTTTGAAAACACAACAGCCTCCGGATCTTATTTCAGGGTGTGAATTCTCAATAGAAGTTTCAACATCTCCTGCAAAATGTAACAATCCCATTGATTCAAATGTATCAGCAATCTGACCTAAAACAAACAAAGGTTGGAAATCAATGGCTGTTGACTTATCATACCTTGAAACGTTATGCAAAAAACCCAAATCACCAGTTCTGATATAGTTTAAGCTGTTATCTCCACCTTCAATCTTGGCATTGAATTGATACTTATCAAAAGTTTCAATGGATTTATTGTAAAGCTTGCTGATGGTACCTTGGACATTACCTTCTGAACAAACCCAAATTTCACCAAACTCACCAACTTTACAAAGTCTGCGAGTCTCTGGATTAACAATAGCAATCTGTGTACATACTGGAACAATACCAGAATCTTGAAGATGAATGGCATTTGGATTGTTCGAAGGGTTGACGATTGAAATCAAACCTAAACGTAATGCATCAGGATCTATCCATAAATCAATAGCATCAAATGACAAATAAGATCTTGAAGTAATCATTGGATTAAAATTGTGAGAATAAATGTGATTGATTGCAGAAGAACTCAATTTGGTTGGAGAAAACTGAACAGCAACATTTTTAATTAAATTAACATCTGGTCTCCCATCATAACCGATCATCAAGTTTTTAACTCTGTCTAAATTGAAATCTTTTGATTTAACTTTTCTCAAGGCATATTCCATCATTTGTGGTGTAACATAAACATCTTTTACTTTATATCTTGAAAGAGTCAAAAAAAATAGTGATGGGTTTGTTGCAAAATCAATTGGGGGAATTATATGGGTTGAAGAGCCCAAATAAACACCAATCAATGCACTTTGAATAAATCCAATTCCAGCTGTATGACGGACACAAGAAATGACTGGATTTTTGCTTTCAAGTTGACATGTTTCCTTCATGATTTTGCAAACAGACGAGATTGTATTGTGAGTAAATTTGACTGCTAAACGACGACCATCTTCAGAATAGCTTAACCAAATTAACGCAGTCGAGCCACTTTCCACAGCATTGTTGATCTTGAACAATGGGTCAATTCTTGATTGGAGACTACACAAAGAGGCACTTGTTTTAGCTTTGGACGTATTTCTCAATTTGATAGTTTGATAAGCGTTGGACTCTTTCAACAGTGGTGAAACTGGTTTATTTTTCAATATAGCTTCAACATCATTATTCACCATGATTGTCTTGACACGATAATCTCTTATAACACTAACAAGACATGGGATATCTTCACTCAATCTATTAGCATCAATTGGATTCATTGGAATTGGAACCATACCTGTTAAGAAACAGGCATAAAGGGCACACACAAAATCTTCAGATAGAGTATACATTAATATAACATGATCACCAACTTTCATCTTGAATTTTTTGATTTTGTCCAAAATTAATGAGACAACACCTGCAACTTTATTATCAAATTTCTTCCATGAAGTTTGCTTAGCTGTTGCACCCCTTGTAACGGTGGAGAAGGCTAGTTCATCAGCTTGATGTTTGATTCTCCATTGTAGTATCTCCACAATTGATTTGAAATCTGTCAACGGTCTTTTCGTTCTGTCATCTATCGATGTATCACGGTAATCAAGACCGGAATATTGATCATCTGAATTTTGCAATGAAATAAATCTCTGATCAGAAACAGTCTTACTCCAAACACTATCCAAATAGTACTTTGATCTTGGAACCTCTGTGATTGATCTTCTAATGTTATATTTGACAAAAACCGATCTCAAATTACCTTCTAGAAACTGTCTCTTACACAACATATTAGCGATACCTGGGATACCACTCTTTATAGTTCTAGGTAGCGTATCTGGTGGAAGAATCAAAACACAATATGGACGAACATTATGGTATCTTTCTAAAACAACAAAACTTTTAGATGCAATCAAATCTAATTCAGGAATATCAACCATACCAGTTTCAGATGGAGTGGCGAATGCACTTTCAATAACAACAACCGGCAGATACTCATTGTTTATCAAAACATCAAATGTTGAGGAATCAGAAACCCTTCTTTGAGGAATAGCTCTAGCTAGTGTATAGGCAATATGGTCTGAATAGTGGTATTTATATTGAATATCATCAGGTTTAATAGCCTTCTTATCAATCCACGTCACTCTTTGACGTAATCTGTCTTCATAAAGACCCAAAACATAGACCTTACCATTATAAGTGAACCCTAACAACCCAGTTCTTAAGAATTCCAAATCCAGAACACCTTCATGATCTCTGCAACGAGCGTGGAAAATATTTTCAGTTCCTGTCGGTAAACCCCAAAATCCACCTGGCAATGATACACTATCAATCCAAATTTCACCAACTTCCATTACCCCAGATAAATAACAAGTATCCGGATTCACAATAGCTAATGTTGCATCTGGTAGTGGATAACCAAAAGATCCAATCCTAATGAAATCCGAAGATCTAAAATTTTCAGTAATTGGTGGTGGTCTATCAGAAACCACCTTCACAGTGTTTGTGGTTAAAGAGTTCTTGTCTATAAGAACTTCTGATAAGTTGGAAACTGATTTGGATATGATTTCACCATCATCGTTCATGGATTGATTAAAAGTTGTATTTAGTTTATGTTCTTCCCCTAGCCAGTCTCTCATTGATATGACCATACCTCCAAACTCACTCAAAGTCAACAAAGGTGCAACAACATTATCAACATTTCTGCAGCCTAAAGGCTTTAACCAACGATTTGTTAAAATCTCATGAAATTCACCATCAACAATAGATGTATAAATCAAACACCACTTTAGAGATGAAAAGTCAACTTCCTTTTTGGAGAATTTTCGTGTATACTGTGGAAAGGACTGGTAATTATAGACAACTTGTTTCAGACTCAAATAGTCGTTCAATAAAACAGTGACTCCAAATCTGGTTATAATATTAGCATAAAGACCTGCAACATCCAATAAACTTGAAGGAGTCCAAATCATGAGGTTCCCTGAGAACACATTTAATAAAGTCCCCACAATTAGCCCAACAGATTTTCTAGCATCCAAAATATTCAACATCACATTTTTATTTCTAGTGAATGATAAATCTGATCTTTTGAATGATTTACCATTATAATTAGGATTTGATGACAAAATCTTGGTCAATGAGTTCATTTGTTGCATGATAGTTTTGTGTGAGATTGCAACTCCTCTCAGTTCACCATCTGGAGATTTCACGTACTCTATATAGGCCAAGTCAGGAACCTGTAAAATTGGTGGATCTTGCTTCTTTTGGGGATGATACGTACCAAAATCAGTTGTCTTCCAGAATTCTAAACCTTTAGGCCACTTTATTTTTGACGTTGCATTAACTTTCTTATCTAGATATTCAGCAACTTGTTTTGAAGTAAGACATAAATGTGATTGAGTTTGATTCATAATTTGGACAATTTCTGATAGTTTCAAATCTAACGTGATAGGAACTGCAACAACACCGGCTAAAAAGCAGCCAAATAGTGCAATTGTAAAATCAACCACTTCAACATTTTGATAAATTAAACAAACACGATCATTTTTGTATAAACCTGATTTATCTCTAATCTGTTGAGCAACTTTTTCAGCTTTCAAATATAGTTTCTCCCATGTAACGGTAACAGACTCTTTACCTTTCGAGTCCACTATAACTAATGCGATTTCTCTTTGATATGTAGAAGAACGATGCCTTAGAATGGTTGCCAAAGTGTCAAATGAGCCAACATTGGTAATTTCACTGTTGATAACTCTAGGGTCCAATGGTTTTTGTAGCTCTGTTGTTGATGAAGGAGGTGTAGATTCTTGTCTTGATAGTCCTGGTTTAGAACTAACTGTTGATATTCTTGTCAGGCCTGATGTTTCACTGTAAGCTCTATTATGGGAATGAGCTCTAGACGACGTTTCAGGTGTTGAATGTTCAGTAAAAATCTGTGTGTTAGGTTCATATTTGGATAGAATAGCCTTCTTTTTCTTGATATATCCCTTTTCAGTCAGATATCCATCACTAAACTCATTATTCAGCTCTTGTAATTCTTCGAGAGCCCTGGGCGGTAAGCCTGTTGGTATTGAAGAGTCCATAGTGATAGTGAACCAGCACCAACCAAGACCAACTTTTGATTTTCAAAACAGCTGAAAGAAAAAAGAGTTATCAATTATCTAGTCAATTGGCCTCTTCTAAATATTTCAAAAGGCTATACTAGCTTTTTGGGGGCTGATAACTGATGAATAGTGATGTAAACAAAGTGAATTAGACCACCAACTTACATTAAAATCAAAAAGTCAAATGTGTTTTTTCCGATGCTATTTTTTTTTTCGTCCCTGAAAACGTTCCAGGCACGCGCTTAGCCGCCTAGCACTGGGCGGGAGTCTGTTCAGCTTAGGCGGAGGCTCTTGGGACCCCAGAAAGAGCTTCTTCTGAGCTTCCAGCCACCAAAAAAAATCAAGTGTTCCCCAGGGCGCTCATTTCCGTTGGCTAGGAATATTAGTTCAACAATAGCAATAAAGAGTTTACAACAAGTTGATAAGGCCTATCACGACTAATACAGATCACAAATCAATTTAATTGACAGACAAAGTACTCTGAATTAGTTAGAACTTATACTTTAGTATCCATATGTCAGATAACCAAGCAGAACAGCCCGATTCTCAAGGAGGGCACACTTCAAACCATGGGTCAACAGATAACCATGAACAGCTGGATAATAAATCATCAAAACATCCAAATAATCCAAGAGTTGTTGGTAATTCATCACAGGACTTAGAAAGACAACCGTTATTATCACCAGATGACCCAGGAGTATCACCATTAAATGTATCAAATGTTAAGATTTCAAAATTCATCCTTAATGGGTTTGCATTTTTATCAACAATATGGTTTATTTTATTATTATTGAGTGATTTTGTATCAATTCCTGGTTTAAACAATAAAGGTCGTTCATTTTTAGAAATCAATTTCATAATGATATCTATCTATGCTGCGTTGACTACATTGTTGTTCTTTAAAATACCTTCACAATTTGAAAGATTGTTGGGGTATATCACTGGTGGGATCATTGGATTTATTATTCTTTTGTTATTGATATTCCAACGGGAAGAAATGGGATTGATTGGATCACTAAGTGTAATTTGGGCATTTGTTACTATAATCTTCACCTCTTTTAGTGAATATTTAGTGGAACAGGGGAAAATACATGAAGAGATTAGATTGACTGGACGTGTTGAAACAAGGAAAACATTAAGTGAATGGGTTATCATCTTTTTAAGAAATATTTTCAAAGTTTTCTTATTGGTTTATGTTGTATTTATCTCATTGAATGTGTTGTTACATATATTTGATGTCCTAAGAGTTAAACCATGGGGTGAAAAAGTGTATGTTGAAGATGATGGCTTTAGGTTACATTTATCTTGTTATGGTGATGTATCATCAAATGGGTCCTCATCTCAACCAATTTTACTGCTGGAATCTGGCCACAATTCAAATGAAGATTTCAGTGAATGGGTTGAAGAGCTTCATCATTTGAATAAGGTTGATAGATATTGTATTTATGATCGCCCAGGCTATGGATTTTCAGACTCATCCCCTTCCCCAGTCTCCATATCAATAGTTAGTGAATTATTGGCAGAGGCATTAAGATCGAAAAAGATTAATGGGCCATTCTTATTAATTGGTTATGATATTGGTGGGTTATACTCTACTGTTTTTGCATCTCATAACACAGCTCAAGTGCAATCAATGTTATTAGTTGATTCATGGCATGAAGATCTATTGTTAAAAGATCCAAACTCTCGTGCAAAGAAGGATGAAAAGTCATTACCACCCGGTATTGATTCCATGAGTTCAGGTGCTGGATTTAAACTATGGATTCGTGGATTATTCTCACCATTAGGTCTAAGTGCACAGAGTTCATGGATTTTCAAACATCGTGGTTCAAAAGATCGTATATATGGACGTAATATGTACACACAGGGGAAATATCTAAGGGCTAGATTACAAGAACAGATAAGTGCTAGTATATTATCATATAATGAAGTTATTAGTGCTAAAAGTTCTTTGGTTGATATCCCAATAAGTGTTGTTAGTTCTGATTTTGTTATCAAGAAATCATTAAACTGGGGAAATTGGCAAAGAGAATTAACCAAGATTAGTTCAGCAACTAAAGAATGGAAGATTGCAGATGGTGGTCATGAAATATGGAAGTCGCCAAAGGGAAGAGATGATTTACAAGATGTGTTGTTGAGAATGTTGGAATAGGGTAGCTACTTTTAAGTGTATATCAAATGCGTATTGTATTCTAATGAATGAATGACTAAAGTAAAACCGAGACTGTAATTATAAAAAAACAAAAATTAATAACATGATACCTTTATGTTGATAAATAAACACCAAACCTTGGGGAAAAACTGGACATATAAAAAATAATAACACCAAACAAAGAAAACACAAGAGACAAATTTCAGATCTAAGATGAAAATCAAATGGGAGCAATAAATATAGTTCAAGTTCTTTTAATCCTCATTTGACGATTCCTCCAATATTAAATCTTCTTCCGTTAAATTGGCACTATCTTGGGTATTTTTCAATGTAACATTATTATTAGGGTTAGTAGCAGCAGCAGCATTAGTTGAACTTTCCGAGCTATCAACTTGTTGTATTTCATCATCTTCCTCTTCACTTTCATCTTCTTCATCCAGATCAGCTTCTAAATCACAAGTTTCACGACAATTTGGACACAAGAACTGAGGATAACTTTTAACCACAATTGGTCGTATACATTTATAATGCCAACAATGAGAACAAGGACTTATGAAAACGGCTTGACACGGTTTAATCTTCAATAAACATATGGCACATTCACTCAATTCAGTATTTTCATTTAATAAAGCCAAAGTTCTTAATTTTTCATGAGCTTCTTTACTAAATTGATTTGCTTTTCTTTGCCATGATTTATTCATTTCAACTCTCATCTTGACACATTTGAAAATATCCTCCACACCACCTCTGAAATCCATACCTAATTGTAAAACATCCCCATTATTTATAGGAGTAACTGCACTTTCTTCATTAGCAGGACTCAATCTGATATGGTTCAAAAAAGTACCAGAAGATGATTTTAAATCTCTAATGTACCAATTCCCTTCAGTATCAACCAAAAATTCAGCATGAGTTCTTGAAACAACTTTTGATTTGAAAACAACTGGAGCATCAGAACCAGGTGGGGCTTGAGCAGCTTCTCTAACTTTATCAGTATATCTACCGATTGATAATTTTGTAGCAGGTTTTGTCTTTCTCAAAACTGGACTGAAATATAAACCTGAAGAAGTTGAAGAATGATCGATAAATGGGGTTAACCTAATAGAATATGTTCCATCAGTATCTTGTTTGTTTTGATGTTGAGCTAATGAGTTTGATCTTGTTTGGCCTTGTAATAATCTTGATTCTTCTATTGGGGTTGAAGCTAGCATCGATTGATCAAAAGTACTATCATTAGCAGCTTGTGATGAAGAATTTGTAGATTCATAGTTTAAATTAGATGGAGTATGTGATGGAATGTTACCGGTGCTATTACCTCTGGTGATGATATTGGTTTGTGAGTTATTATGAGATTGGTAATTTGATCTTGAGGCAGAACTTGCTCTTGAGCGATTTCCGCCATTATTATTTGACAGGTTTGATGATGAAGTATTTCTTAATGAGTTTGTAATATTTGAAAACAAGTTTGAAGTGAAATTACCAAATGAAGAGCCTCTTCTTCTATTTGGAGGTGGTGTTGTTCCAGGTTGGTGTAGTTGAGATGAGTATGGAGCAGTTTGTGGTGGTGGAGTTTGATTTTGATTATTGTTATCACTGGTGTTGTTGTATGAGTTTCTTATGGATAATGAAGGACGTTCCAGGCGTTCTGGGCGCTCTAAAGTTGATGAAGCAGCATACATCACTGGCTGTTTGACGTGAGTGGGCTCTCTATGTGTTGATGATTTCTATGCTTTTGAAGTCTGCTAGTTGCAGTGATTTCAATATTGATGTGTAAAGTTGGGTTCTATTTGTTGTTTTGTCAAGTGTGTTGATGATGTTTTTATTGCACAGGTTGGGTCTTTTTTTTCTTTTGATTATTTTCTTCTCAGAAATTTTAAAGCAGCACCAAAAATTGTCACCAAATGTGATTCACTGTATTTATCCGTTCGGTTTATGAGGCAAATTGTTTTTGAAATGTGAATGTGGATTGAAGCTTGATACTGTTGATTATTGTGTGTAGTTTGTTGAAGTAGTGGTAGTAGAGTGACGATGTGTAGTAACTGTCGTTGTTGAGACTTGTTGTGAGATTTCCCCTATTTGAAGGCTCGAATTTGCGAAGTGATTGTGAGACTGTGCTACGCTCACTTGTACGGTCTGATTAGGTGCGTATTAGTTAATAGGCCAGGGGTCTCCTCTCGCCAGATTACAGTCTAATTAGCTAAGAGCCTGGTGGGATGGGCTGTCTGAGAGGAGCTCTTCTCACTGACTCTACCACGACGTTCGTGTGACAGAAAGAGAGATTCCAACTAATCAACTATTGAAAATCAGATTATACCGTGTAGCTATAATAGTTAAGGTAGCAATGGAAGATATAGAGTCAACTGATCTCTTTCATCTACTGCTGATCGCTCCTTCATCACTTTTCTATACCTCTGTCAGGCTCAACGTTATTTGTATGGGGTAAAGTCTACAAGTATGAAGCGAATTGATTGACCATATTTCGTTATGCACTCCAGAACAAACGCAATCTATGATTCATCACAATCACCGATATCAAATAACACTCTATCTAATCACCCTATAATACAATACACTTATAATTCCATTCTCTTGTCTTTTGTAACTGATTCACCTTAACCAATAACCAAGGCTCATCCAGAACGCATTCGCGAAATACCCATTTTTTACCCTGACGCTGGCATGTGTCCCTAACCGTGCTTTTTCGCCCAAAAAATCAAAAAAATCGGTTACTGGCCTTTTTTTTGTTAACGAAGTTTGGTGGTAAGAGCTTTTTGAGTAGTACAAAAATCATTGAAACAAGATCATCACCATTAAACCCATCAACTTTATAGTGTGGAAATTGTTTGGCAAAAGATACACTTTTCTGTTACTGTCTTTAAAACCTACCAATCCTCGGTGCAAAAGATAATAGTTGAAGCGGGAATCAGTAGAGGTTATTGAACATTGTTAAAAAATACCTTCAATAAAGATTTATCTCAATCAAATCCTTATAGCGTGGGTGAGGTTTTTCAAAAGGGAATTTTACACATTATACTTCATAGGCATCAATTCCATTGGATAAATCTTGATATTCTATTGGCGGCTTGTGTTTTTCTTGGGCATTTTCCTTTGAACTATTCCATTTAAAAACCATTCAACTTTTATAATAAAGTTTATGCCGCTGAAGTTTTCATCAACAAATCCTCATTCAACCTAGAGTAAAGATCAATCATAGTTTGAGCATTATGGCTGGTTTAAAGAACCCCATCTCAACTACAAATGCTAATGGGAATGAGCGCAATAACGAAAAAATCAATCTGGTAAATGGGTCAGATGTTCAATTTGAATACAATAACAATCAAAACAATAATACCAAATCTGATTCAAAGAAAAAGAAGAAGAAGAAGAAGTCCAAGGCTAAGAAGAGCCAACAACAAAATGTTGAAGGTGAAACTATTAAAGAATTGGATTTTGATGATCCAGATTTTGAATATCCAGATTCAAGAATATTGAAACAAAATTCAAATGGAGATGTCATTGTACAAAGTCTTGAACCAAATCCTAAGGCAAAGAAGCCAAACTCATCTTCTTCTGAGAACGCTAATGATAAACATCCAAAGAAGAAGTCTAATTCAATCCCATCTAGTGGGTTTATTCCTGAAGATCAAGATGATTTGAATGAACAATTGAAAGAGTATTGGGCCAGTTTATCTGCTGATGAAAAGAAAGAATTGTTGAATCTTGAGAGAGACTCTGTCTTCAAAGTTATGAAAGAACAACAAAAGATAACTTGTAATTGTTCTGTATGTGGTCGTAAAAGACAAATCATTGAACAAGAGTTGAAAAAACTATATGATAACTATTTTGATGGCATAGATACTCAAGAACTAATAGCTGCTGAGCTGTTCAATATTAATAATCAACAGAGTTATAAGAAACATCAACATCAACAGCAACAACAATTTGACCAACAACAACAGAGTCGAAGTCGAAAGGGATCAGGAACGAATCTTCAACAACCGCATCCATCTCAACAACAACAACAACAACAGTCTCAACCGCAACAGTCTCAACAGGTTCAACAACCTCAGCAACAGCAACAGCATCCGACTCAATCTTCTGATGTTCAAAGAAGAAATGGTATTATGTCAGTAGCTGAAGATTTGTTGCAGAATGATGGTAAGAAATTTTTAGAAATGATGGAGAAATTAGCTGAATCAAGAATTCAAAGACAGAATCAATACATTAGAAGAAATGAAATGATGAAATCTAATCAAGCTAATAATCAAATTGAAGAAGAGGAAGAGGAAGAACCCGAATATTATGATGATGAACATGAAGATGAAGATGAAGATGACGAGGAAGAAGAAGAAGATGAAGATGATGATGATGAAGAAGAGTTAGATGAAGAATATGAAGGTGAAGAAGATTATGAAGATGGTGAAGATCATCATCATACACATAGTCATAGTCATTCACATGATCACCATCATCATGATCATCATGGTCATAATCATAATCATACACATAGTCACAACCATAATGAACATGGGGAAGAATTTGAAGACGATAATGACGAATTCAATACTGATGATGAAATGGATCGTCGAAATATGATTCAACTTCAACTGCAAAGACAAAGACAACTGCAAAAGCAACTACAACGTGAAAGAGAAGAATTGGCACAATTACAAGATGATTATGTGGATGGAGATCAAAGATTAGAACAACTACAGCATCAACAAGCTCAAGTTGAAGCACAACAGCAAAAATTACAAGAGCTTGCGGATCAACAGAAGCAACTTGAAACACATTCACATCTTTCTCAACAAGCACAACAGCAATCACAACAACCTCAACCACAAATCACTGGTGATTTAGATATCGAAGAAGAGGAGGAAGAGTTTGAAGATGATATTGAAGATGAAGAAGAATACAGTGATGATCCTATTGATGAAGAACAACAATTGGAAGAAGGTAGAGCAATGTTGCAACTGTGTACTACAAAGATGCTGAGACAAAGTTTGTTGGAGTCTTATAAACGTAAGAAACAAGAAGAGTATGTCAAGAATTTGTTGAGTGAATTGGATGAAGAAAAATTACGTGAAAAGCAAAAAGAAGAGAAGAAACAACGTGAGAAGGAGAAGAAGCGTGAAAAGAAGCGTTTAATTCAACAACAGAAAGAAGAGGAACGCTTGAAAAAAGAGGCTGAAATTGAAAGATTGAAAAGAGAAAAGGAGGAAGAGAATAAAAGAAAGATTGAGGAAGGTCGTAAGAGAAAGCAAGAGGAGGAACGTAAGAAATTAGAAGAAAAACGTCGTAAGGAAGCTGAGAAGAGAGAAAGAGAAGAACGTAAGAAACAACAACAAGAGGCGAAAAAGAAGAAGGAAGAAGAGGAAAAAAGAATTAAAGAGGAAGAACAATTGAGGATTCAAAAGCAAAAGGAAGAAGAGGAAAAATCAAGATTACAAAAACAACAAGAGGAAGAAAAGAGACAACAAGAAATCTTGAAATTACAACAAGAGCATGAAGAATTGAAGAGAAAACAACAAGAAGAGGATGAATTGAGAAGACAACAACAAGAAGCTTTTGCTAGACAACAACAAGAAAGATCTAATTCAACTCATTCAATTCCTGATCAATTTTCTCAACCACAGATTCCTACTTCAACTAATCCATTGTTGGATAATCTGTATCACCAAACTAATACTCCATTTGCTTCTTCTCCATTAGGTTCTCAAGCTGGTTTGAGTCGTCATCAACAACAACAACCTCAACTTCCAAGAAATGATACTCCTCCTGGTTTCCAATTGAATCCAGGGTCAGCTACACTTGGTGTTAACTCGGGTTTAGATACTCAATATTCTCATTTAACAAATCCTTCAGCTGCTTCACTTTTCAATTCAAGAAATTTTTCGGAAAATCTTCCATCTGTTAGATCACCTTGGAATACAAATGGAACTTCTACAACCAACAATAATAATTCATTGTTCAATCCATTGGATAAAAGTTTCAATTTGTTTTCACAACCACAACCACCTCAATTGTCTCAACCACAACCACCTCAACAGCAGCAACAGCAAAGTCCACCAAATGACCCATCGATTGATCTTTTAAGTAATTCATTGGCTTCTACAAATTTTGAAGCTAACAACACAAATAATTTCAATTCAAGTTTCCTTTCAGGTTCAAAAGTTTGGTCAACGTCTTCAGCTAATACTGGTTTGAATGGGGTTGTTAATGGCGCTAATACTTGGTCAGCTTCAACTACAAAGAATTTAAATGGTGGTGGTCTATGGGGTACACCTATTAACTCAAGTCCATCAACTCAAACTCTTGGTGGTGCAACTCAATTAAATTCGAATGGTGGTAATAATTTCTTACCTTCTCAATATCAACAGCATCATTCAGCTCCAAATTCTCAACCTTCAACAACCATTCATCCTAGCTCTCAACCTCCTTCAAGCTCAAATGTTGATCAATTGATTAAAAATTATCAATCTCAAATTTATCAAGCTTATACATATTTAAGAAGTTCATTTTTGGATGGTGGTTTCATTTTGATTGATACTTTATTCACAACATTCAATTCATTACAACCTCCAAATTCAGCTTTAACATTTGCTTTATTTTTATCAATTATCAAGACAAAAACTTCACTGTATAACTTTGAAACTATTGGTGATGAACTTGGTAATGTTACACATGTTAAAATTACGCCATTTCAACAACAATTGAATCCATTAAATTCAAATGTTTCAAGGACTGGTTCTCTGCCTTTCAATCAATTTGGTAACGGTGGTGCTAATGATGGTTTATATGCTGATCCAAGAAGAAATACAAGTTTTGATACAAATGGTAGTGGTTTGACTTGGGGAGGTTCATTGATTTGAACATTGGGTTGTTTTGAAGTGTCTATAGTGTGATCTTTTTGTGTGTCACTTTCGTCTGTGTGGTTTTTTTATAATTTGATTAGTGTTTTTGATATGAACGATTACTGTCTTTGAGTGAATGTAGTCGACTAACTTGTATCTGTCGTTGCAATGCCAGCGTTGTATTACACAAAGTTCAAACCATTTTAACGCTTATAACTCTACAACGTTCTACGGTTGATCCTCATAAAGTTATAGTTCGTTAAATTTAGCATAAAAGCACTGGTCTCGAGAAAGTTCATGTACAATCTATTTTAGGCACGCGTTAACGTTTTGAAGCCCAACGACATGCACCTGAAAGCCCTAACCTAAGCGAAAACTACCTCTAATAATCACTCACCAGCGTACGCGTGCCTTCTCCGATCAAACACACGCTACACATTTAGCCTATGGCCAATTTCCAGCCTATTAAAAAGTGGTTTCTTCAATTCGAATCCCTCGCTATTTCTATTTTTGGTGTGCCGGAACTTGTTTTTTTTTCATGATAAAAGTACACCACGAAAAAAAAAAAAGCGTTACGTTGTGTGTGCAGTCCATATAAATTGTGTTGAAAGTTGGAAGCACCAAAATTATTTCCAGGCAGGGGACAACAATCAATCAAAAAAACAATACAAAAATACAACCATTGAATCAGTGCAACGGTCCAGGCGTAACGTCTTTCAAGATTTGAGTTCAAGGGGTTTGATATTTTGGCATTTGCTTGGCTTGAGTTCACCTTCATCTAGTGTATTTTTTTTTGAGGCCCATTTTCAACGTTTTGGAATTTAATCAAACTTTACTTGAAGTTTAACATTTCAGAGAAATAATAAAGATCTCGAAGTGTTCATTAGTTATTGAATTCCGTATTATATTGATCTGCTCAATTCCAATTCAACTTCAAACTGAAAACTGAGATTCAACAGACTATTTCATTCCGGTAAACAAGGTATAAACATCAAGGAATGTCATCATCAGTTAAAAGAAAGTTGGTCATAGTTGGTGACGGTGCTTGTGGTAAGACTTCATTACTATATGTCTTTACTCTAGGTGAATTCCCAACTGAATACCACCCAACAGTGTTTGAAAACTATGTTACTGATTGCAGGGTTGATGGAAAGGCTGTACAATTAGCTCTTTGGGATACCGCTGGTCAAGAAGAATATGAAAGACTAAGACCTTTAAGTTATTCAAAGGCCAACGTCATATTAATAGGTTTTGCTATAGATCAACCAGATTCGTTACAAAACGCTAAGGCTAAATGGAGTGATGAAGTTTCAAGATATTGTCCTTTTGTACCTGTTATACTAGTTGGGCTGAAGAAAGATTTAAGAAACAATTCACCAGATAAAACAAATAGAAAGAAGTTTGTTCAGCCCGCTCTTGGTGAAGAAGTTGCAAGATTGATTGGTGCTAAGAAATACTTGGAATGTTCTGCTTTAACCGGTGAAGGTGTTGATGATGTCTTTGAAGCGGCTACAAGAACAAGTTTACTAGTGCTGAACGAACGTTCATCTTGTTGTACTATTACTTGAGGGAGCTCGACCTCATTTGAAAAGAAAAAAAGGATTAGAAAAAAAAAAGAGTACCAAAAAGTTTTTCCCCATTTACTAGCATTTGCATTTATTATTTTTACACATATTATCATTCACGGAAATCATTTCAAAATTTGTTTCTTTTCATTCATTTACAGCTAATTTTTTTGGTAATATTATGCTTTATCATTAAGCTATATCACGGTCGTTCATTTGATGTTGTTTGTTTGTTTATTTTGTTTTTTATTATTGTTTATTATTTATTTGGTTATAATATTGGTAATTTTAATTACGGTCATTCATTTAATTCTATTAGTTACCCAAGTTGTTATTTTTTTTATTAATTTTTATGGTTTTCAAGTCACTCCTTCATAATGCTATCAGCTTTTTACCCTATACAACACATTGTTTTTAACGTTTTATTGTTCATTTTAGTCCATTTGCAACTGAATGGCGTTCAACTAATGCTTTTTTTATGTTAGCCTTCAGCTCTTTTAATTATTCCAAGAGTTCCTTGTATTCTTTAGAGTTTTCATTTGTATATATCCAAATGAATATCATAAAATCATATTATCACTGTACTACATGATTAAACACCTGTTAACAGCAATACTGAAATGTCTGCATTAATAAATGGTATGATTAAATTTATATAAAACTCAAAATAATGTACAAAATAAAGTCATGACTGAAAATCTAGGTATACATAAGAACTTTTTTTCCCTCATCTCCCCCAATTTATGATAGATAGTGTACAAATATAGTAAAAAAAAGGTAAAGCACGTTTAACCTAATCACTGGTGGTTGTAGCTGAATTAGCTGGTGTTTCATCAGCAGTTGGAGCTGGTGTTATTGGAACATGATCATTTGAATGCTGTAATCTTGCTGAGATTCTTCTACCATGAGGAGTGTTTCTAACTTGTGGTAGCAAAGGTCTTAATAATGATGATAGTTGTTCAAATTGTTTCTCTTTAGCAACATCTAAACTTGTTTGTAACACATAATTACCATATGGATCATTCAATAGTTTAACCAAATCATCTTCACTGTTTAATAATTGATCAATCAATTGACTTGATAAACTTGAAACTCTTAAACATTTCTCAATAACATTTGAACCAAATTTATGCAATGATAATTTGATGATTTCACTTCTAACAAATTCAATAATCTTTGCAATAGCATCTTTTTCATTTTTAGCTAAAACATATTGAACAACATAATTACCAAAAGCATCTAAGGATAAAGCAACAGTGAATTTAGAGATGACTAATGATAATTCTGCGCATTGTTCATTAGACCCATGATCAAGACATCTCTGTAAGACACAACAACCGTGTCTGTGGGTAGCAATTTCTAAACAGTTCTTTGCAGCAGCATCAAAAATGAATTGTGAATCTTCCGGGGTTAATCTTTGTAAACATTTTTGAATAACATGATTACCATTCAAATCTCTTGATAAAGAAACAACATCTGCAGATAATGCCTTAACAATAATTTCAGCTTCTTGTTGGGTATTAATACAATCGACTAATTTTTGTAAAGCTCTAGTACCATGAGGATCTAAGGCAATTGAAACAAATTGTGGAGAAGCGTTTCTAACCAATGTGATACGTTGTTCATCATTAACTTTTTCCAATAATTTTTGAACCAAGTAGTTACCAAAAGGATCAACCATCAATTCAATAACATGTTGATGAGTTTCATCAAAAATAATAGTGGCAGCTTCTGCATTCAAATCTAATTGTTTTTGTAAGAAACGACAACCATGTTGATCTTTACATAATGAATAAATTTCACCATGGAAGTCAGCTAATCTTGCATTTGCAAACTTTGAAGCATCTTCACCTCTTCTGCGTTGTCCCATATTTTTTCTACCATTATTGTGATTGTTACCATTATAATAATTTTGATGATATCTGCGCTCGTTTGGACCATTGTTACCACCCATTGGACCACCCATACGGTTATTCATATTGTTAAACCCTGAATTATCAAATGATTGAGTTCTGTTACTTAATGGAGGCCATAACTGAGAATTTTGTAAAGGGTGATTGTGATGCTGTTGTTGTTGTTGATTATTGAACCCACCATTTTCTGAACGTTCTTGAAAGTTTGGATTCGATGAATGATAAGTAGCTCTTCTTTCTTTCATTGGTGGGCCATTTCTTAAACCAAAATTCATACCATTTGGATTGAAGTTGACACCATTTGGACCTGGAAGACCTGGTGCTCCTGGTGGTGGAGGTGGAACTTGATGATGATGCATTCCATCTGGGGAGAAATTGAATGGTCTCATTGGAATCATACCTGGATGCATTGGAGGAGGTGTATGACTTAAAGGTTCCATAATACCTGGAGGTGGGCCGCCTGAAAGAGCACCACCCATATTAGCACCGAATGGTTTTGTTGGCCAAGGTTGTTGAGGATGAGGTGACCCCATTGGTTCATTTGGATTGAAACCAGCATGCAAAGGTTGACCAAACTCATTCATTGGATTGTACATGAATGGATGGAATGGTTGTTGATGGGCCATTGGATTAAAATGACCAGCAATTGGTTGACCCTCCATAATTGGTTCACCAGGAGCTGGAACACTACCTGGAGCTTCAGTGTTTGGATCATTGGATTCAATTTCGTCCTTGTTTGGCTGGGTTGGACGAGGGACGCCAGCTGGGAAATCAAGATCCAAAGCGCCTAATGCCAAATTGATATCAACCAAATCCGCTGGAATGGCTGTTTCAAGATCAGCAGCATCATTAGCACGTCTAAATAATGGTGGAGCAGTAGAAACAGCTTGGTTCAAGGCGTTGGTTGATCTTTGTAAAGGAGTTGTAGTGTCTTCAAATAACTTAAACTTTGGTTGTTGATCATTATTAATGAAATTATTTCCTGGAGTTGAAAAAGAGGCAGATCTTGGAGGAGTCAGACGAACGCTTGGGGTCAATGGTTCTTGAGCTCTTGAAGGCTCTTCACTCATTGAGTTGTTTGCTGAGTTCTCAGATGACATTCTTGAAGTACTATGATGATATCCTAAGTTGATGATGTTTTGTTGGTGTATTGAATGAACAAATCAGGCAACGTCAAGATTTAAACAATAAAAATATTCAACGAAGCAGCTTTATGGGTACTTTGAATTGAATGAAGTTGGGTGTATCAAGAAACAACCTAAAAATACAGAATAATTTAGTAACCAGAGATAAATTCTAGTGACTCAAAGGGATATAAAGAAGTGAAAAGAATACCAGGTTAATAATGTACAGTGGGTGATGGAGCGTTTAAGTTCCAGTATTGTAAGGTTATCTGGTGTCTCTTCCTCTTGATGATTGGAGTCTTGAAATGTTTTCAATCTGGTGTATTTGGTACTGGATTTAACCTGAGATGATCATAGATCAAAACTTGTTGTTGAAAAAAAAATTTGAAGAAATCAATCACATAATTCGCGGGTCGCGACAAACAACACCAGCACGAACTGAGCCTATTCTCTAGGCGGAGGATGGAATTTGCTAGGCAGAGACTCTCTTCTAGAGCTTCGTGCTGGTAGGCAGAGGAGCTACAAGGAGAGCTTTAAGGACCAAATCCTTAGGGCATGACAAACAAACATCAACAACCTCTAGTCTTCATGTGTATAACAAAGAAAGCACAGACAATCTACATCAACTATTTTACACTATACTTATATTAGGAAATTGGATACCAATCAAGGCACTAAACAATAATAAAAAAGGATGATCAAAAATAAGAAATTAAATTTTTTTCTTTCCTCAAACATTAATGAAAAGATGTAGAAGAAATCAACCACATCTTAATGATAAAGATATCTGGAAAACACTCTATGAAAAAACTAAAAATATGATGTGGATTAAATTAATCAGATAAAAAAATTAGTTATTAAAATATCAAAAATGACAAAAGACAATCTAACCATTTTGAATCTATGAAGATTTTTCATGTTGAGTGGAGACTCTTTGCATGGCAACAACGAAATCTTCCAATGATCTTTGTTCTTGTTTTTCTTTAATTGGTTTACCGTTCATGAATCTATCGAAAGCTTCAGATTCAGACATCAAGTAGTAAGCACCACCCATGACACAGAAGGTACCGAAAGAGAAAATCCAAACACGAACGACAGTAACAATATCGTTCCAGTTTTGTGACCACCAACCGAATAAAGCAAACATAGTAGCAATGATATCAACAATGAAGACAGCACCAGCTAATTGCCATGATGGAATTGATGACCAGAATGGACCAGCAGCTCTAGTAATGAAAATTAACCAATTTTCAGTTAAAGAAATTTGCAAGAATAAAACACCATCAATAGAACCGAAGTTTTGGATGATACCACCTTTTGGAACAAACATAGTAGTCAAAGTAATCCAAGTACCAATAGCTAAAATTATACCTAAGATAATAGACATACCCCATAATCTTGGTAAGTTCCATTTAACAGGTTTTGGAGCATATGGAGCATTATCATAAGCAATGGTAAGAGTGGCAACATCAGCGAAAATGGCAATGAAAACAACTAAATCAATGTTTAATGATTCATTCAAGATAGCAATCCATAAACCTAAAAAGATTTCCAAATGTAATGATAAAGCAATACGGTAAACAACATAAGAGTACATTCTGTGGAAAATTTGTCTGGAAGTTTTCAAAGCATCAATAATGGCAGATAAACCTGGAGCTAAGAAAACAATATCAGCAGCAGAACGGGCAGAATCAGTAGCACCTTCGACAGCAATACCAGTATCAGCTTTCTTTAAAGATGGAGCATCGTTAACACCATCACCAGTCATGGCAACCAAGTAACCTCTTTGTTGTAAGATTTCAACAACATTATATTTATGTTGTGGGAAAACTTCAGCGAAACCATCAGCATTTTCAACGAAATCAGCAATTTCAGAACCTGGCATGTCACCAGCACCACCTAAACCTAAACGTTCAGCATTGTAAATGTTGGTACCTAAACCTAATTGACGACAAGTTTCTTTAGCAATACCAACGGCATCACCAGTCAACATCTTAATTCTCAAACCCAAGTGTTTAGCTTCGTTAACAGTTTTAGCAGTATCATGACGAGGTGGATCCATACATGGCATAATACCCAAGATTTCCCAGTGACCTTCACCTCTCTTTCTAGCAACACCTAATGAACGGAAACCACGAGAAGCGAATTCAGCAACTTTGTTTTCATAAGCTTCATGAACTTCTTCTGGAATTGGATGGTCTTCTTCAACAGTTTTCAAAACGAATAATGGAGCACCTTTAACACAGATGATTCTTTCACCAGCTGGGGATTCAACAAGAGCAGTAACTTTCTTTGAGACAGGATCGAATGGGTGGAATTCAATAACTTTGTATTTAGTTAAAGCAGCTTTAGCACGAGGGTAGTTAGCTAAGGATTTCAAGAAAGCTTTATCAATAGCATCTAAACCCTTCTTCTTTCTTGAAGCAGCCAAAGTAGCAGTTAACATTAAATCATCAGCATCAACACCTTCAACAGTGTATGGTTCATGCAAAGACAATTTGTTTTTGGTTAAAGTACCAGTTTTATCAGAACAAAGGATTTCAACACCAGCTAAGGATTCGATAGCAGAAAGTTTTTGGACAATAGCTTGTTTTTTAGCTAAGTAAGCAGCACCAACAGCCATGGTAGTGGTAACAACAGCTGGTAAACCGACTGGAACACCAACAATGGTGATGGCCAAAGTGTAACGCAAGATTCTAACAATTTTGTTGGTTCTGTAGAATGATGAGACCCAGACAAGTAACAAAGTAACAATAACTAAGACTAATAAAATAGTACCAATACCGTTCAAAACTTCAGTGAAATGACCTTGACCACCAGCAGCTTTGTTAACTAAAGCAGCAGCTCTACCAACAAAAGTGTTATCACCAGTAGCAGTAACAATCATGAAAGCTTCACCACGTTTGATGGTGGATGAGGAGAAAACATTGTCACCAAAGTGTTTGTCAACAGCTAAGGATTCACCGGTTAAAGCAGATTGATCAACTTGTAACAAAGCACCTTCGGTAACGATACGACCATCAGCTGGGATAACAGTACCATCTTCCAATTGTAAGATATCACCTGGAACAATTTCATTAGATGGAACTTCAACTAATGAACCATCTCTGATAACGATAGCAGAGTTGGCTAAGGTTTTTTTCAATTCTTCGACAATAGAACCAGCTTGGTATTCTTGAATGAAACCAACAGCAGCGTTTAAAAACAATAAACCTAAGATAACACCGAAATCAACCCAATCTTCTAAACCGGCAGCTAAGATAGCAGCAGCTTCCATAACGAATTGAATTGGACCAATGAAGAACATTAAGAATTTAACAACCAAGTTTTCTTTTTCTTCAGCCATTTGATTTAAACCAAACTTCTTTCTTCTTTTGGTAACTTCATCAGAAGTTAAACCGTAACTTGGGTCAGTTTGCAATAATTCTTCTGGAACTGGTCTAGCAGTAGCACCAGCTTCACCAGCTTCTTCTTCATCGAATTCTTGACCAGCATCAGATTGAAGATCTTCAATCAATTGATCGATATCTTCATCTTCATCATCGTCATCTTCTGGAGCAGGTTTTGGAACCTTTTCGGTTGTTGGTTGATGTTCTTGTTCTGAAGACATCTGTTAAAAACTAGTTAGTATAACTGAACTATTAGGTAAAAACTTTTCATTAATTCAATTCATCGTAAAGAATCCCAAAATATTCATCAAAACATACTTTCAAGAATAGAAACGTTGGCTTCAATTGAGAACTATGTGTAAAAGAATTCAAGGGGGTTGAAAACTTTTTCCATGGAAATCACAATCTTTAATACCAGTTTTTTTTTCTCTTCCAATTCTCCCATGCCCAAAATTAAAAAAAAAAAATTAAACGAACTTTAAATCCGTTTCTTTTCCCACTCATGTTTTTTCAACTGGATAAGATGGCTGCCCAACGTTCCACCAATGAGATGGCCCAAAATTAATCTGCGTTCGCAAAAAAATGGTTGCCGGCCAACACGCCAAAAGAAAAAAAACAAAAAATGCTTAAAACGGATGAGACTTGGTAACGGACCACATACCGAATATGGAAATGGATTTGCCGAAAACAAACATTTCTGCTCTAAGGCCACACACTCAACCGTTCAAAGAAATGAAAACATGAAAACATGAGTATCATTAGGGAAAGAAAGATGGGTTCAATTGGTATGGAATGTATGATGAATATTGTATAGGATAATCCAATGAATGAATAGCTGAATAAAAGTTAACAATGGTACTCACTTTTCAACAATTTCCTTCTCTTTTGTATATGGGTATAAAATTAATTATCAATTAAAAATTAGGAATTGGTATTGATATTTCTAACAACAACAATTGAGAATCCTTCAATTAATCAATAACTGGAGATGATACAAGAGGTAAGGTAAAATTGAATGTTTACTTCTAACAAAGGAGTAAAAAGTAGATTAAGAAAGTTTCAAAAGTTGAAAACTAGGATTTATTTGTTTATATATGATTTTTCGGATTTGGGATCCTCGAGGAATGAGTGGAAAAAAAATTGAGTAGTGTTTTTGTCGATGGATGTAATTGGCAAAAGAAAAACTTTATCAGCGTTCTCAAAATGAGACTCGAGTTCTCATGAGAGACTTTGCATAGTTAAGGTACTCGCTGTAAATGATTACACCATACATTTTCATCGACTGAACAGGCCTGCCTGTGGTGTTTACCAGTCTCGTTGAGTATTTTCAAACTGCAGCTTGTTACGCTTTCGCCATTTGAAAATATCTCAAAGTTTACGTTTTCCCGAATTGAGCCTAGTTCCCACCACAAATCACAAAACTTGCATACAATCTCACTACCTAGTTGGGCAATTCGCCCTTTCGAGCCGGCCGTAGATACCTACAGACTGGGTCTAGGACTTGGCCTGGCGCTCACCACAATTTCCTGCTGAATCCATGAGCTGGTGACAACTTGAACAAGTAAACAATCCAATTATTCATGGTTATACTACAAAAGAGTCGTAACGAAACAGGCTTTGAAACTATTTAGGCGAAGGATCATCATTCTCAAAAAAATCCGGTTCTCAATATCGTCAATTAACGTTCTGAACGAAGATAGAAGTTTGGGCGAGTGTATTAAATTTTCATCGATGAGTTTTTCTCGGGTTTATTTTTTTTCACGCGGTAACTCTACAATTTGGTAAAGTTTTCATAGAGATGATGGGTTATCGGCCGCAGAGTGTATTATGATGACGAATTAAGGTTATTGGTAACAAAATGCTTCGTCGATAAAGGGAGTTTATTTCTAGAAGTTAAGGTACTACGGTCAGAGAAGCTTTGACAGAAAAAGAGCAGGCTACTGAGATAACAAGGAGATCATCTCGTTTCGAATAGTCAATATCGTAATGCTTTGATGAAAATTATCTTGGACCGTTACAGAGGATATCCAGCCCTACACTTTTCTTCCACAGATTACGTACAACTAAAACCACTTTTGTAAGCCGACCTTATTGTAGCCTTATCAAGATGTTTCCCTCATAGGATTTTTTTGCAACGACATCATCCTCGGGCTAAGATCCGTGTTGACCGAGCCTGTAACAATTTTTATTTTACTCGCTTCAACCATATCCATCAAGATAATCGACGTTTGGAGTAAATATTTACTCAGGGTTCCTGGAAATTGATTCGATTGAGTAATTTGATTGCATTGTACTGATGCCATGAAGTCACAAGAGTCTCATAGTTCTTGATTTGAAAGACAGATCGCCAAACGTATGTGATCAATTTTGATGCCAGCTTCAATCTAAAAAAATTTGAACCATTCAGGCTTCATTACACTTCATTATGATGGTTTCAAATATGCTCTAGTGAGCTCACTAGTCCTATCATCTATGACAATGAGAAACATATGACAACATCTACAAACTCATACACTCAATTGACTAAAACAATTTCTCGTTTTAAACTCTCGATGTTCATTGTTGAATTCATTTTGAAGCTAACTACTTTGACACATTGTTAATTAAGAAATGTTTGCTGGCTTCATGATCGAGTGGAGAACTGCTATCCTTCCAATTGAACTGTGAAATATACGTAACTACCATCTAATTAATCTTGAGTAATGTTCACTGGTATCACAGCTTACCTAGAGAAGATGATAGCATTGAAGTTGGTTTTGCGCAGTGATCCAGTTGATTATAACTCGGGATTGTAAAAGCTTCTGAGCCATAAGCTGCTCTCAGCGCAAAAACATTTGCACTTTTTCTATATTGATGGCCGTTTTATGTTTCCCTTTTGATTAAATTCTATTGGGCTCTAGTCAACGTCAAGTATTGACATGGTCTAATGAGCGATGTTTATCAATTTGGTGAAAATATTATGATATGACATGAAATCCAGGAACAAGGTTTGAACTTCGCATCAAATACTTGCTCAAATGTTTTGCTAGAGTTTGAACTTTTCAACTGTTTTCCATAGAAGTTATAGAAGAAAACGTGTTATCAGTCTTCACGAAATTAATTGATCAAATGCAGAAACAGGCTGCCATGCATTCGCTGAATTTTTGCGAAAACTCCAATCACTTCTCCGTTTTAGGTCTTGATACCCGATGAATCATTCACTGTATTTTCCTGTTCAAACAGCTTCAAAGTTCAAACCTTTTCATTCAAATTGAAGTACGTAGCCTCCAAAGATTATTGGTAAATCAAGTGGAACTCTGCTCAAGTTGTGGGGCTGGCGTACAGTGATTGAAAGAAAGTCGAAAGGCGTGGTCTCTTGAATCTTGATTAGTCTGATGAAATTTTGCGAAATGTACAACAATTTTTTAAGATTTCTTGGAAGCTGATAAACATCAACATGTTGTAGATGATGGAGTGTACGCACTGCTGTATGGAAGATGTACTTGATTGGAAAATTTAAGAGGCACCTTTCTTTTGCAAATGAAATTTGTGTTGTCTGTTTTGGCTGTAGCTGCTATTAAACATGCTCTTCTTTGGAAATGGTTCCCTCGATGTACACGTGATCAATTCATGATTAATTTGCCAGCTGTATTTAATTCTTGAATTTGGGACTATGATTTATGCCATATGGTCCATCAAATTACTGGGGTAATGCGAGTACAAAGAGTGTAGTTACACAACATACTAGCTACAAGGCAAAGCTTGACCGTAGAACAACTGGATTTGTAGTGCAAAACTGCAGTAACACTAGATACTCAGTTACAGGCGCTAGTGTGTAGCGGAATATAGTCAGCTAGCGAGTGTTATTTGAATTCTTGAACACTTCAAGCATTTAAATTCTTCATGATTTCATTCAATAGTCTAAAGTTTATCTGTTCAATTTGTATGTGTCGCATATAATTGTATGGAAGTACAAGTAATACCCAGCAGATTTTTAAAATTTCTGATTCTTGTCAGTCTCAAAGTTTGGTCTTGCGACTTCAGTCGTCTCCAACCGACACATCTGCGAAGCACACAACTACACAACACTCTAGCCACTGGATTTGATTAAGAGGGAGAAAACTGCCGGGCTCGCACTATCTCCTCTTTCTTCATATAACAACTAAGAGCTTCACAAATGGGTATGAAAGCTTGAAGCTTGAAAGCAGCTCAAAACTTGATTTTTTTTCCGATACGAATTGACGTAAGGCTTTAGCACTGTACAGATTCGAAGTCGAACCGTTTTTTTTTGGCGGGATTTGTTTTTTTTTCCAAACTTAAATTTTTGTTCCTGAGAATCGAGAGATCGAGAGTGGTGTATGTACAAAGAAGACTACCTCGACGTTGAGCATGAGCTTACAGCTCACACAACGTTTTCAAAAAAGTTTGGGTATACAGACTTCAAAGTTTGAACTTTGATCTTGAGCCTTACAAGGTTTGATTGGGTGGTTGGTTTAGATAAAAAAACGGATTCTTTCCGATTCAAGTTTTTTTTGTGGCCTTGGACGGTCGAAGTCAAACTGACCAATGATTTTCAGTTTAAAATGTAACAAAGAGTTAAGACTCAGAGTCCTAGCATAAATTTATGTACACCACAGACTGGACTCTGGAGTAACGTTAAGTTCGAAAACTAGTTCGTCATCAAGCTTCTTCATCCTCAACTGTAATTTGTAACATTTGGCAGGGCTTCTTCGACTTATCCAGCAGTAATAGTAAAGCAAAGACATAGCGGCTCTACTATTCAAGTTGGGAACCAAGTAGTTAAATAGAGGCACGAGAGGTTGGATATTGGGCAATGGGCATTTGATAGTATTTTTTGTGTCTACAGACTACTGACTCCAGTTTTACTGTGGATTTCGGAAGCGCCAATGTGTAATAAATATACCTATAATCGGGCCTTGGTAGCCCACCAACCACCAACTGAAAACTACTTGTAATTGGATCATTTTGAAAACTGTATGCTTTTGATCTAATTGGTCTTTACGGCTGCTCCTCTATCACGCATTCAATCTCTCCACAAAAGTCAAAAGACACCACAACAGGTCTGTTCGATTCTCGTTCTGCTTTTGATTTTGAGACCTATCAGCAGCGTCGACGACAAGAAACTATGTAACTTTGCAATTAGATTCATCTGGAATAAAGTCTTTTGAGCTCTCAATATATCTGGTTTAATTGACTCTTTACCTGAGATATATGTGAGTTGTGGGACTTGTATAGCCTATTCCATCTTGATCTACGTACCTATATTTGAATGATTCTAGAAGAGTTGAAAATTGTAGATGTAGCTGGTTTCCTTTCATCATGATGAAGATTGATCTCTTGACTTTTGAGTCTTAAGAAATACAACTCTAAAGAAGTGGTGACAGACGTAGCCAGCGATATACTTACACTGCGACCCTGAACCATGGTTCAACGGTCAACCAGTAACCTTTCGAAGTTTGAACGGAACAATCAAGCTCCAGAGTCCAAAGTCTCTCACCTGTTGCATTATATGTGTGTAATTTATCCGGCTCTTCGGGGAAATTGATTGTTTGAACTTTGTGTGTAACGGCTAGTCTACACTAGTGCTGTGTAGATATGATGGATACAAGAACTAAAATAGTCTTTCAACCTGTAATTTTGTAGCGAGGATGCACATGAACATTTAATAGCAGGTGAGTTACAAGTAAATGGTAGCTCATTGAGAGTTAGTTGAGCGTTAAACCAGCTCAATTGTTGTGCGAAGTGAATTGACTATTGATCTAGTGAATTACGTCGAACCCCAGAGTGCTTTGTACACTTTCCTTCACAAGAACAATTGAAAGCTGGCTATATCAATCATCAAACATATTAAAACATTTTCCTGTCAAACACTGGTCGTCATAGTGAGCATCTCATTGCAAAAGAACTCATCGAAAGGTCATATAAGTGTACTGAGTGTATAACAAATTAATGATTCCCAAGTTCCCAACTGTACACAGAGTCCAGACGTTTTATCGTTTTGTTATGAGGTCGGCAATTCCGAAGACCAGTCTCGCACAATTAGCCGATTCCCTTTACAGGAGCACGGATTTAATTTATTCGGCCGAAACGCCTATTCCATGTTCAGCTATTAGTAATATATTAATAATCATTAATTGTTTTAATATTAAAATACACATTAATATGTTAAGGCCCTTAAAAAGATCGAATTAGAAGTTAGAATTAGATATATTTGAGTCTCTTTCTATCATATTAAAATTTTGGGAAATTTTGGGTCAATTTTGGAAAACTTTTGATTATAATTTTGATTATTTTAAAAATAATTAGACCTATATAATTGTTTTTTTAATTCGAATTTGAAAAGCTTTCAAACCTTCAAAAAAGCAAAAACTTTAAAGAGCATATCAAAGTAATCCTGCAACGATCTAGTATCAGAAAATCTAGTTCTAAGCTATACATCTTGTTGGAATGTCGTTTTATAGCTTGTTGAAATTTAGCTAATTACCCCAATTTTTTTCAGCCGGCAATGTTGACACGGGAAATATGACAGAAAATCATTAACGACGTACTTGTACGTTTGTCATTTATATCAACGATGCCTTCTGTCCACAGGAGAGAATAACAAAATAGAGACTAAGAAGAAAAGAGACCAATAACAACGTTTATATCATGTATGATGACTTAGCGTGAAAAATCAACTGAAAAGATCGAATAACTGCTTGAGTGTTCTTGATATCACCAAATACTGAATGCCATATTAATTCGGACCTACAGCTTCGTCTCATTTCATATTAAAAAGCAGACAATATAATGTAATAGAGACAGAAATAATTCAAAAAAAAGTTAACCATTTAATTAATGAACGATACATAAAACTCAAATAATAGACCATCCCATGAAAACCCAATTACAAAAGACAATGCAAACAAATAATCTTCAAACCAAAAGCAAAGAGTTAAACTCACATTCCTAATTAATGATTCTAAGTGCTTTCTATCTTAAAAAAAGATGTGTAAATAAAAAAAAGTTCAACGCCCAATCTCTGATAAAAGTGAAAAAAAAGTATAGATGAAATTTTTATAAAAAATATGCTATGGGGAAGTGGGGGTATCAAATTCAATAAGATTCACAATTCAACTATCTTGTGAATCATCATGACCATTAGATCCATTTGATTCTGATCCATTATTATGGCTCTGCTCTGACGGTTCGTTTCTGAGATTTCTTGCCCTTAATCTCTCTTCAATTAAGCGTCTGGATTCATCATAAAAATTATTATCAAAAGTTTCTCTATTATCATTATCTAAGTTGACAGTTTCAACCCCAGACCTTGTTCGTCTGCTCGCAACTCCTGATGAAAATAACCCTGGAAAACCGTAACTTCCACGGTTCAATCCTCCAAGGACACCTGCACTCAATGGATCTCGTCTTGGAGGTGATGATCCTGAAATTGGTATACCCGTTGGTTCTGTCAATGCTGATACCAATGAGGTTGCAATGTTGGCTTCTGGTGTATTATTATTGATGCCAGGGGTGGAATTGCTGTTTCTTGTAGTCAATGTATTAGTTGCTCTATCCAACACTATCACCATTGGGTTGTCTCTTGATGATGGATTTAATAAAGATGTGATATTGGGTATGTTTATTCTTTCTGGTGGAGAATTTGAAGCGTCAGAATTTTCAACAACTTGTTGACGACACAATGGACATGTTGAGTTCGACTTCAACCACTCGTAAAGGCAGTTACGCCCAAATACATGTTTGCAAGGTAGTTCAACTGGAATATGAGTGAATTCTTCTTCGGAGTTCCTTGTTTGTTGATCTGCTTCTTGAGATTCACTAGTAGAAGCACCACCATTGCTACTATTTGGATGACTGACACTTTCTGTTCTTCTGCTTTTACGGGGTGACGAACCACCATTTTCAGACCCTTCATCACTCGCTCTGCGCTTTCTTTTTCTCTGAGCGTTAGGTAAATCATCCTTTTCTTCCTCTTCCTTACCGTACAAATCTTCTTGATCTTTTTGGGTTTTCGTTTGCTCCTCATACTCTTCAAAACATACTGAACATGTTGAATCTTTGACATCACTCTTTGACTTGATAGGAAATTTTTCAAAAGTTTCCTTCTTAATACCACGGTTTCTTCTTATATTAGCAGCCAGTGCGCTCAAAGCAATGGATGCAGCAAATTCAATAAGTGCGTTTAGCTGAGACTCTGATCTATTTGATGGGATATTTGGAACATTAAGTAGAACTGAACCGGTTCTATTATTTTCTCTTTGTCCATTTTGATCAGCATTGCCGCCATTACCAGCTCTAGTACCATCACCAGAATAAACGTAGCTGACAGAAACCAACATGTTTCGTTGAATATGCTCTTCAGTTGAACCTTCATTTTCTTCATTTGAACCCACATCAGTAGTATCATTAGGTCTGTTACTTGTTTCATTATTACTTGATTGGTTGTTTTCTTGTGCGTTGTCACTTGCTGCCGGTTGGTTTGAAGCTTGTGAAGGATCTCCTCTAGAGGTTTGATTACCATTTGAAAGCAAAATACTAGGAAGATTCAGAATGACATTCTCTGAATTATCTTCACCAAACCGAAATATGACAAACGAGCCTGCTTGTCTGCTATTGAACAGTTAGCCAAATGTAATCCAAAACAGATACTTGCTGAGAAATGCCTTATACATACCTCTCCATTTGTGGTAAGAAATCAGAGACAACTCTGATGAAATGTAATTATTGAGTGTTCCAGGACCGATGAGTCTAAATTAAACAGGTTGAACTATTGATATTCTTCAATCCAATGTAGCCTGAATACGCTCTCTAATCAAATATAACCCCTAAAGTCAACTTCTGAGTTCTGATTCTTTAAATAATTAGAAGGGATCTTAGTTTCGAAACTTGACGTTGATTTGTAATTTTCCATAATCGCCGCGAAATTCATGACATAATCACAATCAGCTACAACCAGAAACTATATAAAAGGTTTTAAAATGGTAGTCAGAAAGTATTAGTCGGTAATGCTTTATTGAAAAGTAGCTAAATCACAAAGCAAATGACTGTGATTTTTACCTTTTTCTCTCTGGTCCGTTTTTCACTGAACATCTTAAGGCTTAATGTGTGTCGTTTATGTCTAACTACAAACATTTGAATTTGATTGCAATAAGCTTTGATTCATAATTAAAAATATTAGTAAAAGGCTTGACAAAAAAGAAGCTCATATCATTAAAATAACTCATAAAATTTGATTTAGGAAAACTAGGCTAGACAAAGCTAGAAGAACTGAACAATGGATGTGAATAGTTGCAATTCAAAAAATTATCAAAAAGTTTCAAACCATCAATAAACCAGCAATGAAAAAAAAGATGGAGGAGGCTAAGGGAGCAAAGTCACGTCCAGCTGCATTCCTTGGTGTAGTAGCTGCTGAGTCTGCTGAAGCACTTCCTTCAGCTCTGACAGTTGATCTGCCAATTGAAACTGGGGTAGTTTCTGAAGCACTAGTACGCCCAGAACTTATACGCGCAGAGCTTGTAACTGAAGAGCCATAAAGTGTTCTTGAAAAACTTGAATAGCCTCTTGTGGTAGTTGAAGGTTCACGAACCGATAAAGAGCCATCCAAAGTACCACCTGTGTAACCAAAGACATCAACTGCTGTAGTTCCATCATCTTCATCTGAGAAAATATTTTCCGTGGTGGTTGCATACTCATAGGTACACCAAGTACTTGAATAATCTGGTGCCTTTGTAGCAGAAGGAATAGTGCTCTCAATGACCTCAATATTTTCATCACTAGTGTATTTAGCTTGTGCAAATGAAACTTCACGATCTTCTAAGTCAAAAACAGTGTAAGCAGATCTCAAGAAACTAGCACCGAGTGTAATTGTACCATCAAAAGAGTCATAAATACCCAAGGCACAACGTGAATATGAATTCTTATATCTGATTAATTGGTATAATGGAACACGAATCTTATGACCTGATAAATCTATCACTAAGAATTGTGATAAAGACTCTTCTAAAGATGGACATGTCATCACATAAGCACCATAAATATACGAATAGGTTGCATTGAACGAATCAGCAAGATCATCAATGAATCTTGATGGTAGGTAAGTTAAAGTTGTTCCTGCATCAATGAAAGCTGGGTATTTATTTGATGAAAAAGTAGTTTCATTTCCATTAACATCAGTACCAACACCTGAAACAGTAACAGCAAAGTATGTGAAATTGACTCCATATTCTTCATATGGATCAACAATAGGTAGTGTTACCAAAGACCCAGAGTATTTTGCATGATCAATACCACCAAATAAGATTGAACCAGTAGTTGAGTTGTAAGAATCCAAAAATAGCGAGAAAGCCTTCTTTTTGATGTAACCATCTTCCTTTAATCTACTTGGGAAATTAGAATAAGTGTAGTTTCTCTCAGGATCAGCATTCCCTCTGTTTGTATTTTCAGCATCTTCAAAACCAAGACCCAATACACCCGACTCTGCATTTGCAGCGGTTGCTAATCCAAATGAATAGTTTTTTAGCTCATAGTCACCAAGTTTGAAGGTATCTGTACCCCATTCACCAATTGCAAAAGTATAATCAGAGTAATTAACCTGAAATTTTGTATCATTAGAGTTGTAAGTGTTTGAAAGATCTTTATCAAATGTACCAAATTGTTCACAATCAGCTGTTGCAGATGAGTATGGCACCGAGGAAGTTCCAGTTGCAGAATCACTAATGGCTTTGTTAACAATAGGTTCACCCAAAAATGAACGTTTCTTTGAATAAGTAGAACGTTTGCAATAAGGATTACCTTTTGCAAAAACCCATGTATCTGATGTACCAGTACCTATAGCTAAAGAACAATTTTGCTCTGGAGAACCAAAAGAAACATTGACTCTGAAAAAGTTGAGCAAATCTTGTAAAATGATTGGTGAAGCATTAGTTTCATCGTCTCTCTTCCTTAATAATCTTTTGCCATGAGATGAATCAAGCTCAGCATCTTTGGTGTCAACTTGAAAATCCAATCTTGTAAAACCATTACCGAACACAGGATCAGCAATTGATGGAAGTAATAATGTTGATAACGCAATTAAAGTAGACAACTGCATTTGGGAGTAGTTCTCTGATGATTGTTGAAGTTCAATTTAATTATAAGGAGAACTCAAGGAATAAAGCTCTGATATTTATAGTAAAGTATCCCAATTAAGTGATCATGCTCGAAGAGATCCAGTGGGCAATAATCAATTAATTAGTAGACCACGGTCCACCTTCCAAGATCCACTGTAATTAATTAAGAAATGCAATGTAGTAATTAATTAATATTACCTAGTTTGAGGTTTGTACCATCATGTTTTTTCCCTGCGTGCTTGTCAGCATCCAGGGCGTAAGCTTTTCTCTGTTGTCATCAGAACTTTGATACAAAGGAGATCTCGTAGAATCAGGCTTATCACAACTTTCTTTCTGAGATCTTCGTGCTGTTGAAGTGTCACTCAGGTCATCAATTGTCGGTTTATTGACAAACGTTTTAACCGTGTGCGCAGCTGAACCAATCACACTCTCCAATTACCACACAATAACTGTGAATGATCATCAAAGAACAAGTGTATGAGTTTTACACTTTCCATTCACGTTTTCGATCGACGCTCAATTATTATGAAATGACGTACAACAAAAAAGACCCTGAAACCTTAATTTACGAGAACAACATCCAGACACCACACTATAATTGTAAACAGGATCGGTTGAATACACTGGAATGGATTGATTGAGCTACACTTATGAAACCGGTTAATGAAGGTTAATGATTACACAATTATACCATCAAAGCTAAAAAAGAATAGTAAGCACAACCGCGAGTTGTGTGATCAATTTGGCTATGTAGCAACAGCTTGAATACTGACTCTCACCGGCCCCATTCAACTTTTTATAGTATCCATTACTGATATCCTCAACAAAGTCAGTTTGTGGATCGTAAAAGTCCAGTTTCAACTCCTCCGCCACATCGCCATCCTTAGTACTATTGAATGGGTTCTCTATAGTCACCATTTCAATCTCACTTTTATCTGTATAGACAACAGGGGCCATGGAGATCTCCATCTTATCCATATCGAAAACTGTATATATTGATCGTATAAAGGATTGACCAAATATGGTATAATTGGAATATTGAGGCAATATGTTTAGCAAGCAATATTCTTTACCATCTGCTAATTTGGAATCACTCAAATATTTGTTGTAGGATGAAGGTTTTGGTAACAAAAAGTTTTTGAATGGAACATTAAACTTGGTAGAACTAAATTTAAAAGACAACTTCTTGTCATCATCATCCTTTTCATCCACACACTCAACAAGGTATTGGTCATTGGCTTCGATTTTGAGATAGCTGAATTGATCAATCAAAATGTTGAACAACTCCTCGGGTAAATAATTGAACATCGAACCAGAATCAACAAGGGCACCTGTATAACTATCATTATAAGTTTCACTCTCTTGGAACAGTGAGACCTCATCAGAATTCTCACCATCTTGAAAGCTTACATCAGTCAACATGAGTTCATACCTGCGGACAGGAGCTCCAATCCTTTCAGTATTAACCATCTTCATTGTGACTAACGGAGGTTGAAGCTTTGCATAGTCCACAGCACCAAACAAAATTTTTCCACCATCGGTATCTTTATGATTTAGCCATATACTGAAAAGTTTTCTACTGATGTACCCATCTTTGAACAATTTCATTACAATATTGTCACGTTGATACTCAATAGATCCCTCTTCAGTGACCTTGAATTCAGGAATACCCAACCCTAACAACCCGACAGAACTATTAGAGCTCGACCCAATACCAAAATCAAATCCAGTCAAGTTGTATTCATCACCAATGCTGAATGAATCACTACTCCAAGCACCATCAACAGTGGTTCCATCAAAATATTTTACAAAAAACTTATCTTCACTTTCATTATAAGTGCTAGATAAATTTTTGTCAAAAACACCATACTTGTAACATGGTTGAGAATTAGATTTGACAGGAGCTTTGGATTGTAATTTCCCACCAATATCAACAAATATATCACTATCTTTCAACATACCAGTAGCAATAGGGTCTGAACAATATGGATTATCAGAGCTCACGACCCAAGAAGAAGAGCTTCCAGTGTCCAACAACAACTCAACCTCTTGAGGTGGGGTGCCAACATTGACTTTTATACCTATGAAGGAATCTTTATTGTAAATATCAACACCTGATGTACCGTCTTTACCAGAACGCTTTAAAAGATCATGACAATGAACATACTGGGATAGAAAGCAAACAAATAAGGTGTATTTGAGTAACATGATGATGTTTTGATATTATGGGGGCAGAAATCATCAGGACAAGAAGGGAAAACGACCATTGATCGTTATTTAGGTGTTTTTTTTTGGCACAATGAGACCTTTGAGTTGATTGTTCGTGTAATCATGTAAACCATGCGATAATTTTGCTCAATTGGGAGACATCGAAGACTCAAAATCTGAATCATCAATAAAGATAATCTAAAGCAGCCAAAACAAATGATGAATGGATCATGATGGTTACGATTGAAAATATTAATAGTTGTTGTTGTTTTGATTTCAACCCTTGGCTATCCTCAAAATGCAAATTGTTTTAAGAAAAGTATATGAAGAAAACCCAACCGGTGAGTTTGGGAATCAAACGTATCCAGATTTAGAAGCCCATTCTGTTTTAAGTTCCTGCGCTCTTATAAGATCCCTATTTGACCTTCATTGATAGAAGGCTCTTGAGTCTTCAGGTACATACGAATTTTTCCACTAGCTAAAAAATCTGTGGTTTCGAGCCCCACTGCTTCGCGAACTTTCAGCAATCGAAAAGAAGGCCTCGAAGACCAGCTCAACACTAAAAAGAACTCAGAGAAGAAGTAAAGATAACAAAACTATAAACAATGTCTTGGATAGGATCAGAGAAAAAAGTCGAAGCCCAACAGTCCACTTTGCAACCAGGAGAGCAATTGAATAAAGACCAATTAAAGACCAAAATTGACGGGTTTGTGTCGCAGAGCCCCCAATCATTGTATTTAATTGATGGGTATGTCTTCGAAAATTGTTCATTGAAATGACTAGGAGAACTAACATATAATTCAATAGTGAAAAAGGTACAAAGAGAAGTGTTATTTGCAGACAAAATGAAAATGGTGGCCAAACGTGAGTAGTTTTAACACTCAAGATAATGATCAAGTAATTACTAACTAAACATTAGATGCCTGAACATTGAAGTCGATGGTGTTTCACTTTTCAAACAAATGCAAGGATTCGTAAGTTTTACACGGAATTGAAACGATAGGAACCAGTTTATTAACAAATGTATATAGAACTATTTTTGCTCACTACCTGCTGAAATTGATGCAACACATTTTGAATGCAGAAAGATCAATTGAACGGAAATGTTTCACTAAAAGTTAAAAAAAGGAATACCTTTTGAGCCATTATACATCACATCTTATACATAGACAACCAACTTTCAATTTATTTATTTATTGTTTGGAGTTTTTCGACGTAGCACTGGTGGAATCTGTCATCTGTGAACGGGCGCCACCCAACTTCATTTCGCGATTTTTTTTTCTTTTTTTCGGTGAACACATTTTGTTCACGAAAGTTTTGAGTGCAGTGGTTTATCAAAACAAGTTAGTTACCACTGATATTGAATCTATCACAAACAGAATGGAGGAAGGTAGCGGCAGTCTAGAGGACCAAATTTACGAGGTTTCAGACCTGATCGAAAACTATGTCAATGACTTTGTCGAAGGGGAAAACGATTTTGATTTAATTAATGACCAAATTACAGATTTTTCCAAGTTCAATGACAACAAGATAATAGACTCCATAAAGACAGAAAAAGATACCATACTGGAATTATCAACAAGCAGAGTTTTAGCAAATTTCATTGATCTCAAGACTTCTGAAAATGATCAAAACTTGAAACAAATTGCAACTTTAGTGGATTTAACTTTCTACTTCAAAGAAAACAATCAGTCACGTTTCAACTTACCTCTTTTGTTGATCTGTCTTATAATTAAAGAATCTTCAGTTGTATGGCTACTAAAATTCTGGAATTTTTTCGAATTAAGAGTTGATTTGATAAAAGGTGTGAAGGATGGTGAAGTTTTACAAGCTAATAAATTTCCTGGAACGAACTTTATGGTGGCATTAAACCTAAAACTGAAACAATTAGAGAATAGTAATGAACCTAATAGAGATATTTTAAGAGCTCGGGTCTTATCATTGAGCTCTAAGGTGTTTGCAATAAGTGACAGATCTATGATCAATAGAAGATTTGAATTTAATGAAGAACGTTCAAATGAACTAGAAATACCAAGATCAAATTACAGACGCTCAAAATATGCAACATTTTGGAAACTACAACATGTGCTAGCAAATCCTATCAAAGAGATGGTCTCCGAAAGAGATATTCAAGATTTTATGCACAATGTTGAGGAGTCTTTCAATTTGATTTACGAGATTGAAAAAGAACAACACGGCGGCCCATTTGAAGGTGTTAAATCGAAGGAAAAAGAAAACCATGACAATAGCATTGAATACTATACAAAAGCTAGCCTGACAGAATCTAAGAAAGAAGAACTTCGAGAGTTTTATGCAAGCAGAGAATTCAGCCCAAGCTTTTTCAAAAATGAAGAAAGATTTAATGAACAGTTAAGGAAGGATAAATATTTGAGAAGGGCTGTTTTATCGCAATTGTATTTTTATGCTTGTTGGGTTATAAATTTATCTGATTCTCCAGAGATTCAATCAGGACCAAAATTTGCAAACCATAAGCTCAAGAGATTTTCCAGAATGTTGAAGTTAGGATCCCTGTTGTCTCTGAAGAAAGATATACAGTACATATTCCAATCCACTGATAAGAGATTTTTTTTTGTTAATCAACAGTTTGCTTTATCAGATCAAGCATTCTTGACTCTGAAATTGTCACAATTTAGTGATTATGTGAACGTTTATGACGATTTCAAAGTCGACGAGGAGTTTTACAATCAACTTGAGAAAATTGGTCAGTTTAAAAGTAAAAACTTTCATGAATATGGTACACCTCAGATTTCAAGACATTGGAAAACATCAACTGGGTTGGATTTATTAGCTAAAGATGAGTCAAATGGAAAATCTGAACCGATTGATAAAGATTTGGAACGGTTAAGAGAAAGTATAAAGACATCCACTGATGAAAATGTGAAGAATTTAAATTCATGGAAGGCACTGAGATTAGCTAGAAAGAAGCATTTATTTAAATTCAAGCAAGTTAATGAAAGCACAGGTTTAGAAGGTCTGTTTGATTCCTCACTAAAGGAGGAATTTGATAAGAAGAAGCAAGAAGAGGAATTACAACGTGCTCAGGAAGAAGAAGAAAGACAGGAGAAGTTCAAAAAAGAACAAGAAGAGAGGGAGATGGAAGAGTTGAAAAAAAAGGAGGAGGAAAGAGTTGAATTGGAGAGAAAACGTAAAGCCAGTGAAGAAGAGTTTGCTGAACAGAGCAAAAGGGCTAAACTAGAGTCAGCAAATGGGACCAAGGACTCTGAGGACTTGGATTACTAGGTGCTCAATAGTAAATACAAGTTTCCCTGTTGAAGCGTATGTTTTTTCCTGTAGCTATCAACTCGGGTTTACTGACAATCAGCTTCCCAAAACGGCTACTGATAAGAGCGAGAGATAAGGCCGTCCGGATTTCGCTGATTTGATAAAATTTTAACTATGGCTGTCAACTCCATGTAATTCCACAGAGGTAATCGATGAATCTACTGTTTGCTGATGGTTGTATTTATAGAGCTGCCTGATCGCCGTGTGCGTAGCTACACCTACTGATTCCATAATTGCCATCTTCATATATATCACCCTTGAATCCACCAACTACACACGGAACAACTCAGCAACAAGATGGAGGCATCAGCTACAACAAATACTGAGCATAACTCCGTGTCCAAGGATCAAGATACCATTATGGAAGAGAACAGCTCAAAATCATCATCACCAGAAGAAACAGCAGTTCACATCAAGAGAAGACCAAGAAGATCATACAACTGTGGGCCATGTAAGAAACAAAAGATCAAGTGTGATACACAGACACCATGCGGAGCTTGTAAGCGTCACAATAGAACAGATCAATGCTTAGCGTCACCACCGAACCCTCCTTCACCAGACCATAAAAAGCGTATCAAAAAGATCTCATTGTCGTTAGGAGAACCAGTGAATATTAAACCAATGAATCAACACCAAATACACAACAATGGTTCACCAGTTGGAGTTTTACCATCGACAGCAAGTGGGAACTCTCCTGATTTCAAACTTCCTTCTTTACAGGCATACACTTCTAGTTTCAAGATCAATAGTGGTGGATTTGAAGCCCCAAGGGACAATTTGATACCATTGGGTCAAAGAATGCAACAACTATCAACAGACGCCAGTCCTTATATAGCATCAAAAGAGAACAGCATAAGCCAAATACCCAGACCGTGGGATAGATCTTCAACAAGTCCAGGTTATAATAGTTCCAACAGCCTATTTAAACCAATAAAATCTGAACATGATGAAGTTTATCAATTGAGAAGCCAAATATCGTTATTGACAAGTCGTTTGACTTCCTTAGAAACAAAACTTGAATCATTAGATCAAAAAAAATCAATGAAGTTAGCCATAGATGACAACGTCTTCGAGTATTTATCAACCATTCCACATCAAGTTTCCATAAATGATGCAAGTGAAAATTCAAAAAGCATCAACATCAAATTCTTACAGCCTGACAAATTGGATAATTGGGACGATTTTGTTCAAGTGATTCCCGATAACCTGGCTTTATCAAATATTGCACAATTCTTCAAATTATATTTGAACCCGCCAATGAACTTGATAGATGCAAAAACTTTGGATTATTGCTTTGACTCACAAAAGTTGGATAAAGGAAAGTCACTGGTGACCCAGGAGGATTGGGAATGTTTATCTTTAGTTGCAATGGTTTGCTCCTTAACAGTATTGAGTTATCCTCAAGATTCCATTGAAAGTCATCTCAACATCAAGAGGACAAATGCACTTTATGTATCAAACACATTATTTCAAATATCTAAGAATTGCCTCAACATTGTCAAATATAGGGAAAACCCAAAGTTGATTCATTTGCAGATTTTGCTTTTATGCTCAAATTATCTGAAAGTATTTAACAAAAAGAACTTGCTCATCACAACTAATTCAGAAATGGTTTCAATTGCATATACTTTAGGATTGCAGTCTCTGATAATCCCTCAAAATAGCCTTGAAGTTGAAACATCACAAAAGATATGGTGGATAATTTGTTTGAATGATACCTTGAACTCCCTTAAATTTCAAATACCACCGTTAATAAGATTAGAAAACCTTCCAAAGGCTCAAATCGGCGGCTCTCATATTTTAAAAGCTTTCATATCTGCTGAAGTTTCAAGTTTCAATTCAATAATTACTTATATTGCCAAAATCACCAAAATTTGCAGCGAAATACCTTTAGTGTCCAAACAAACCACACTTGAGTATGTTGAAAGCCTAGTGATCATCGATAGGCAATTGACCAGTCTGCAAATACCGCATAGTTTTAGTCTTTTGAACCCAAGAAACGACATTGTCTCCAATTTTCAAAGTTGTTATTTACATTTTGTTCTGGTGCTGAGTAGGTTTGAGATTTATAAAAAGATCTATTTCACTTCACAAAACTCTTCAATCTGGTTGGTAATGGTTTCAGTACTAGAAAGTTTCTTCAAAAGGTATAGTGAATTGAAAAACATGTATCCCCCAAAAGATCATTTAAATAACTATCTCCAGATTTCAGACCACCTCATAATCAGTGCCATCACCAACTTATTGATATCAATATCAGATCCAGAGATATTACCAAGAGGATATAAGCAAATTATCCATTCATATTTTGACTCCATCCTTGAGGATCTCCAATTATTGAGGCTCTCAGTTCTCAATGACACCACACCGTTCTATAACCAATCATTCAAGATAATTCAACGTCTAAGTTCAGTCTATCAGTTGCAAGAATCAAGATCTTTATCTGCTGAAGTATCCGCTCAAATAGAAGAGTCACAGAAGAAGCAACTGGAGGTGAGTTCCAAACTGAAAGATTCAAGGGTCTTTGAATCTCAAGAATCTGAATTAGGATTGGTCCCAAGTAATGAATTTTTTAACGTCTTTCTCACTTCTTTATATCAAGAACAGCGGAATTCCCAGCAGCGAAGTGTTACTAATGAAACCTGGTCACTGAAAGACGTACTTGATAACGATCAAATCTTTTTCTTGAGATGTATAGGTATTTGTTGAAAGTTTTAATTCGATGTTTGGGTAGTATAAAACTTCAAGAATTTTGTAGGGTGTGGCGTGTACCGCGATTTCTTGAACCATGAACTTTGTTGAAGCTTCAAGAACCCTACATCAACAACTAAACCTTTGTAATTTGACACAAAAAAGCGTTATGAATCAGCCAAAAACTTTCCATAAACCACTAGGTCCAAGTGCTAAGAAACCATCGCAAAGAAAGACATTCAAAAACCCGATCATTGATGGCTTATGGAGTCGATATCTAAGTGTCCCCAGAAAGACCAGACTCTACATCGCTTGTTCAACATTTGTCGTGGCTTTTGCCAGTGACTATTATTTAACACAAAAGGAGAAATCAGCAGCAGCAGCAGCAGTTGCTGAGCACGAACGGTTTTTTGGAAAGAGTGAGACTGATAATCAATCGGGAAAGATATAGACATTGTTGGTGAAATTGAATCAAGAATTTATCCCATACTATGTATCGCTCATGAATTATTTATCACTCATGAATTATTTATTACATGATCTTCATTCAATCTTCTGATAACGGGTCATTATATTTATTGAAACATTATAGCTTTAATATATGGTACATATAGACATTAATAATTGGTAATAAAAATTGAAGGCAAAAAATCATATGAACTAGATGATATAGTTTGAAGACAGAAGGAGTAAAAAACAATGTACACCATCAATGAACGATAAAAATAAACAACGTGATGATAAGAAAAATAAAAACAGGTAATAAAAAACTATTGTCCATAATGTTTCTGTAAATTTGGATAAAATAAAATAAATAAAATTAAAGGTTTTCAATAGCAGTTTCCAATGGCTGCTGGTTATTTGATTCTTGAATTACCTGCTCTTTCCCCGAATTAGATGCTGGATTAGTTCCATTGAATATTCTTTCCAATAATTCTGGTTTGGATTTCAAAACAGATTCGACTCTGAGGAATATATCCTTAGAAGTCAGATGATCCACTTTTTCAAATTTGCACAACTTATAAATTTCTAATAGATAGCTTGGAACAATGCTTAGCTGTTCATTGTGTTCAATCAAGTAATTCACCACCTCAATAGCAAGATAGTAATTTTCACCCTCACCTTCACTGAAAGCGTCATAATAAGTTGTAGCAACACCTTTACCGTTTGATGATGGGCGAGGAATCTCAGCTGGCTTTGCATACAAAATGTTTGGTGAAAGAACTGTTGCCAAATTATGAATGTCCATCTTAGAACCACTTTCCTCATCAAGATGCGAAAATGATGAAGTCCACATGAAGAAGAATAAAAGCACCTCAGCCAAATCTCTGTGAGCCTTTGGAAGCAACGAATAGCTGATTTCAATCAAAACACGTTTCAACACGTCATCTTTCACCTTTTGAGTCAAAATCCATAAATCGTAAAGCTTAAAAGTCAACAATGGGGTTGGTAATTCTCTTAAAAATTTCTTCAAAAGTGCAGATAATTGAACAGCATTTTCATTTAACAAATCTGGAACTTTAGAAGGATTGATGTCAATCTCATTTGTGATTTCTTTTAGTCTTTTAATGTTACCATTTTTTCTGAAAACACCTTCAACAGACATATCTTTTTGATATAATGCAGCTAATAAATCATCAATCAACATTGGTACACGAACCTTTGAAGGCCCATTACTTTGAGATGAATCAATCCCTGCTTTTGCTGTCAAATCTTTCAACTCGGCACCGAAAACTTTAGATAATGCCCCAATTTTCTTTTCAGAATTACCTATTTGTCTAAGCTTCTCCCAGAATGTCGGTGTTTTCTTCAGGTCAATGAATTTTGTGGCATCAACGTCCCTACCCACACCATCTTTTGACAATGCAAAACCTAAAACAACATCAGCAATATGAGTAATGATGAAATATTCTTGATCACTAAGTTGCGAATAATATTTGATATCCAAGTCTGGTGATTTATTGCCTTCAATATTAGATGATTGCTGAATACTTGAGGCACCCCGGTGTAATGAGTTGCTCTTGGCCTTTATATCCTTTGAAAAGTTACTTTCTTGATGTGGATTGTGAAACTTATAAGTGTTGGGTCTCAGTTCCCTTGCATGCTCAGCTGCAACAATTCTTGGAATGTCATCAAGTGTGAGCACCTTTTGATTGTTGATGAATGTAGTGGCTCTATTGAAACTTTTCTTACTCAATGAAGGTCCCATAGGTTCATCTTCAACAGTTATCTTTTGTTTGGTAACATTTTCCTCACTAGACATAAACTGACTGTTCAGCTGATTTGGTTTTTGGAGATCATCATTCGAGTTAAACTCTGTGGTTTCAATAACAACTGATTTTCTTGCATTTTCTCGTTCAAAATTGGTGATTCTGGTGTTTTGTCTGGTGGATCTCAATCTTTTAATGTCATTCAATGTTTTCATATAGCTTTGTTCATTGTTCTGGTTTTCAGCTGATTGAGGATCATTTACAATATTGATCTTTCTGTGGCTAAATTCATAGTCCATTACAGCTTTTGAACGAACAATTGCAATCTTCAGCAAGTAACCCAATTGCAACAACTTTGAGACCGATCTAAATCCACCTTTAGCATCTGGATCATCCATAGCACATTGCGCACACAATACCCAATTGGTCTTAGAATTGTAACAAGCATCAGCAACACCATCATAAGCTTGTAAGTTTTTATTACATTTGGTACAATGTAAACATTCAACATGCCACCTTTTATCTTGATATTGGACGCAAGCACTTTCTATACTCTTTTGACAATGAGCACAAAGATCCGAAGCATCTAATGGGATATCTAATGAATCCAAAGGATCATTTGGGATATTTTCATGTACCCTTATTTCTCTCAAAAATTTATCCAGAGCGTTTGTAGTATGGAATGATTTATTATATTGCAACGAGTTGTATAAACCATATCTTATCAATAATTTCAAATAATGAGCTAAACCAGTGACGACAGATAAAATCAGATCCTGTGAGTTACTCGGATCAGAAACACCTTTACTAGCTTTCCTCAAGATAGCCAAATAGATCATTATCTTGGCTGATAGATTCCTAGGCTCTTTCTTCAACGTTTGAAAAGCCACAACATCATCGTCCACAGCAGCTGCAGTATTAACATTTTTGTGATTAACTTGAGAATTGATTCCCAAGCGATGCAAACTATCAATACTTTTGAAAAGTGCATCGATCTTCAAAATTAAACGCACAGTAGCCACCAAACCCTTTCGTTGATCATGAATAGTTGCAAACTGTAACATATCAGAGATACAAGTCGCTGTATCTTCTTCAAACTTGAATAACGTGTTCCAAATTTCAGATATCTTCTCTCCAGCTTTTGTTTCCATATCGATCAGTTCTTCTGGAGTTGGATTTATATCTGGTAACTTCAAATTTTCTTCGGTAGGTTCTATTATAGGTGGAGCTGCAATTCCTATGCTGCCTGGGGATATGGATACATTCCAGCATTTATGGATCATGTAACATTCAACGTGCCATTTTTGATTTCTACCACCTCGAAATATCTCAACGTATTGTTTCAAAATTGCAAATTCACAACCCTCACAACGTTCAATGAAAAACTTGGAAAAATGATAATGACAATAAATGTTGTTATCATGATTGAAAAAATCTTCCTCAGTGTCAAATTTTTTAGCACATATTTTGCAACAGAAATGTTCAGCATCATACTTTCTTCCAAATACAGTGAAGTGTGTTCCTTTCAAATAACTATCACAGACACAACATGTAAGACCTCGTCTTTTGTAAAAATGGTCTTCACAAAGAGGTATTTTCTCACCATCTTCTTTTTCAAAAGGAAAATACTTTGACAGAATTGGCGTTCCACAGTCTGCACAGCCGAAACATTGTGTATGATATCTCTTTTCAAGAGCCTTGACCGATTTGGTGGTTATAGGTTTATGACAAGTAGCACACAAGGAGGAACCTCTGGTAGATACTGTTGTTGGAGGAGTATTATAATATGGGGAGTTGGCTAATGAAGAACTATCCTTGGTTGAATAAGAAGCTGCAGTTGAAGACCCAGTATTTCTTTGTTGAAGACTGAACTGCGGAGGAGGATGTTGGTTATGATAATGATGAGGTTGTTGAAGATGAATTTTGTTTGTGGCTTGTGATGATGACCCTATCTGCTGCTGTTGTTGTTGCTGCTGGAACTGTGGATCTGGCATAGGTGGTATTAGCTTCAAATAGTTTGTAGGTTGTGATCTCTTCTTAGATTTTGACCTTATAAGTGGTGACACATTATTCTGTATTGAATTGCTATCAGACCTTGTATGAATAGACTTTGGGCTCGAGACATTGGTATTTGCTGAAGTCAAGTCTCTATAGGCATGATAACTGTTTGAAGGCCCAGAAGCTGAACCATTTGAAACGTTATGTCTATGCAATGGTGCCCTTTGGTTTTGTTTTGAGGGTGAAACAAATGAACCTGGTATAGTGAAACCAGTGTAAGATGGTCCTCGTTCCGAAGTGTTCTCCTGAGCGTCCGACCATTTAGACATCATTCAGTAGGTAAGATTTTGCTGAACGTCTCTTGTTGATGTTTGTTTTGAAACTTAGCTTTGGGGAAACTTGAATGTGTTGAGTATGGTAAAAAATATTGATAAATAATTCTTGTTGATAATTAAATGAGTGAATGAAATTATTTATCAGATATTGTATTGTTTGTTGACCTATTATCCAATGATGATCATGAAGAGTATTTAATGGTAGTGAAATATGAGAAAACACAAAACACACTTAGGAACTTTCGAGCCTCAAACTGATGCAAAAAAAATGCTTTCACAACTTTATATTTCCAGTGAATTGAAAGACCCTGATCAGTTCTTGATATGATTCAGTGATTCAAAATTTCTTTGGAAAGCCCAGTTCTGCGGTCTAAATAGGCGTTAAGCTGATTTTGATCTTGTTGTTACGAAATCTCTCCTCAGCCGCCAAAAATAAAAACAATAAGAAATTGATGACTATTAGCTCCCAATCAACGAATTTTTTTTCTGAGAATTCAGTAGCCTGTGATTTAGCGCCCTTTTGAAAACGCCTCCCGCTTTGCTGATGAGTATTTGGTGAAGCTTTGAAGCTGAAACTTGTATGTTGAGACTTTAAACAGCAGGTGTATTAAAATCAAATGTTTATTTTTAAAGAACCTCCCAACTTTTTTTTCTGCGAAATCAAGATCTGACGTTGGGCGGTGGTGTCCGGGTGTATGGCAGATCTTGTTCAGTGTTTTCAAATTTCCACAGAAACGCGCTGGCAAACAAAAACACGGTGCAACCCAAAACAGAAGAGATCCAGATCCAAGAACCACTGTCAGCTGGGAACCTTCACCACGACATAGAGAACAACAATGGCCATAGAGAAACGCGTAGAAAAGCTCTATAACTTCAACTAGGAAACGTCTTTCGACTCTTTCTAACTTATGTAAAAATGCATGGAGAGGTACCCAATGTTGTGGGCAGGAGAAATGTTTACAGACACTTTGTTGATCGTTCAGTTGCTGGGCTCTTATTGGCCTGAACATTTCCGCCATTCTGGTATTTTGGTGCACAAAACTTTTGAACCAGACTCACTGATCACTGCTAAAGTTCCAGGCTCCATTGTCCAGACCCTTGAAGAGAATGGGTGCTGGCGTGTTTGTTGTTGTTGGCTACGCTGAAACTTGAAATCGTTTCTGATAAAATTTGTTTTGGGAGATTATGTACCGTACTTCTATTCTATTAATTCACCATAACATGCTGAAAATGATCAGTCAATTGACCCATTATCTACCACTAGTGGCCCTTAGCTAGCACAAATTACACTACAGCTTTGCCAAAGTACTTGCAGATTCGTGTGACTTGTTTCTCGTGTTAAAAGTCTCATTAATTATAACGAGTCGTGTGACACGACAGAATTAGTTATATTATATCGATCGACCATGATTCTGAATCTATACTTCAACGCAATATAATTTTTAGGTGCAGCTGTTATACAAAAACATGGACGTCTATATTATAGATGTGTTTGAAAGTTTCGATATTCAGCTTTGACATGAATATACTAAGCTCACAAAGCGGCCCTAATTTTAAGCTCAGGCTTAATTACAACTAGTTATTAACAATGTCTATGACCAATAAGTAGCATAATTATATGATGTTCATTTTGAGTATTAATAGCATGAGACTGCAATATATTGTTCCAGCTGCTAATTTGATTAATGCCGGCATTTGGTTACACATCATCGGTCACAAAAATAGGTAAGAACCAAATTTTAACAACATTATAGTAAGTACTGAAAGCTTTTTCAAAACACATTATCAAATATTAGAAGTTGTAATAAGATCAGTCTCATGATATGCAGTTTGCTAGCTTTGAGTTAGCATCAAAATTTACAACATTAAACTCAGGACTGTCTTGTTTGAAGCACGGTGATAATCATTAAAGTTGGCAATATCATGTGGTGCTGAGAGCAGTAGTATACTGAAAATAACCCACAAACAAAATTTCGACAAGCACTAGCTGATCATCAATGGGAATTCTTTTGCATTTAGATCTTGACATTAATTGAATCACTATAACCCAGAATCAAAAATTTCATGGCTCTAGCAGGCAATATCATTTTTTGTGTAATAAGTTATTAATATCACATTGTTAATGTATGTCAACATCAATCAACATTTATTGAACAAAGCACCGTAGGAGTGAGGATAAAGGACAGCCAGTTGGGACAACGATACAATCTAGGATTGAAACCAACTTCGTTTTAAAAGAAAATTTACAAACTATTTTTGGATTGTCACGTGATAGTCATGCTTTTCATCAGGTGCTTGATAATTACCGCTTTCAGCTGATAAGGCGTGTGTCCCAGACAATGGATAGTAGAGTGACGGGATTTTGAAGCTTCACTTCTCATGATTTTACGTGAAGAACTTTGACAAGAGTAAACATACACCATACATATAGTGTGCCTTCAGTTTTCTCACGAGTAACATAACAATTCACAGTCTTTATTGAATCAGAACCTTCCACCACTAGTTGCCTGTTTGAAGCTCCTCAACGTCCAAAGAATCATTATCAATATCCAAAAGTGGCGGGCTTATTATACAAGTTTTCTATCAAACAACAAGGAACAATAAGAAACATTGACTAGAAACTGATCCAAATAGCAGAGGATCATCCGTGAAGATGGCACCTCAATGGATGCCACAGAACCTACAGAAAAGGCTTCTTTTATATATCCTTCAACAACTTTCATTGTTTTCAGAAATTGATCTACCAAATCTAGATGTTTCACTTGGATCAAGCTCTCAAGTCACATTAAAGGATGTTGAGATTGATCCAGATGCTTTACAGCTCCCAGGAATATTTTTAAGAGATGGTAAAGTCAGCAACTTGAAACTACAGCTAAATATGAGTGGCGGTGTTACTATTGAAGGAGATGGATTAGAATTAACCATGGCGCTTGCCTCTCCAAATTCAAGTAGCTTTGAAAACAGCATCACAGAAAAGTCAAAGTTCTCACTAGCTCAAAGTACAATAGATTTAGCTGCAAGTGTCATGAATACAGGTAATGATGAAGAAGGCTTAGAAAGTTTACATGATTTTCAAACCCCAAACCAAAGCTTTCATGAAAGTTCAAATGACTCTGATAAAGATCAAACAAGTACGCTGAATAATGTTATGGCAAAAGCAGTTGAGGCTGCGCTTGCAAGGCTACAGGTAACATTGACAAATATATCGGTGCGATTAATCATGGATCAAGCTACTATTGATTTGCTGGTGGAAAAAGTTACATTTACTACAAATGATGGAGTAAGAAGTGTTGATATTTCAGACGTTACTGTGATTGCAGTCAAACCAGTAAGTGGCCCTGGTGAGGACCAGGCAAAAGAAGATTCACCTGCTGACAAGGAACAAACGACCAAGGAGGATAGGTTTTCGACTTTACATACAAGAAGATCTAAAGAAGATGAAGAAGATGATTATGAAGATAACGTCAGTGATCAAAGTGATAGTGATGAAGATGCTGATAATGATGAGATGATGTCTTCGTCAATTCTTGAGAGACCTGCAGACTTAAATTCAAGCTTAGTATATTCAAAGGAGGAAGCTAGTTCAATTTATATGAGTGCGACCTCAAAAGTTTTCACTCGCAGAAATAATGATGACCATGTCGCTAGAGTGATGGCAATAAACCATATCAATGTTTTATTTAGTGGCCTATCAAAGCTAGAAGATCTCACCATTGAAGTTGATGAGGTCAAAATAGCAGCTACTCCAGTTCCAAATACATTACTATATGTGCTAGAATCTTTGGCAATACTAAACCTGAAAGATACAATTCATAGACATTCAAGTTTAAATACAAAGTTGAGGCAAAAGAAAAATATTTCAGCTAAAGATGTTGAAGAGTCCGCTAAAAAGCTTTTTGAATCTATATCTGCCAATACCATTGAGATTAGTCTTGTCTCATCGTTGATGGAGAATGGTCAATTTGCTAAGCCAGAGGAACTCAGAATCATCGGGAAAAACTTCACATTGGAACAAAAAGATTCTGATTATATGTTTGGTAGCTTGAATAAATTATCCATGTTGAATAATAAAGATGATATACTACTGCAATTTGATGAAGATAAGACAAAGAATGACATAAGATTCGAGTCCAAAGGTAAGACAAGTGAGCTTACTTTATTACTTTCTAAGAATTTGGAGATAAGCTTAGATCAAGATACCATTCAAAAATTTATCAACATTACTTCATTGTTACCACAAATTTTGGACTCATTGCACAAACTCAGCACAAGCAAACCAATAAGGAAACCTTCTAAAAGTTCAGTGTTATTTCAAAATGCTTCAACAACAATCAATTTCAAAATCAACGAGACCACTACAATCAATGCTTGTATCTACCCAATTTCTTATGATTCCACAAAGGGTTCCTTGTCGTTCAATAAGGCAACTTTGTCAAGAAATGACGTTCCATTGGTTTCACTGTTCAAGTTTGATGTTGATATATTAGCAGCTGAGAAGCAAATTAGATCATTTGATAATTCTGGCCACGAGATTGTGCTCACAACACCTTGTTTTGTGAAAATTGATAGGATAGAATTGAATCATGAGTATCCTGATTTAAAAACCTCTTCGGATTCGTTAACCGAACTACTGAAAGAGATTTCATTTCCTGTTGAAGAGATCAGATTTAAAGCAAGAAAGAAAACTAGGATCTCAACAAATGTCATGTTTCAATCAAGACAATCAGTCAAACTCCAAGCTTCTATCGGTGTGATTTCTCTTGGGTTGAAAAACCTTCATCCAAGATTTGGTGATGTTAGTGGCTTTCTAAAAAATGTTACTTTGCTGATTTATAAAGATAATCAAGTTCAATTACATTCAATGAATGTTGATTTGAAGAGAATTTTTGGTTCAGTTAAAGAGGCTATTGTCGAGCCAATCAATATTGAAGATCGAAGTGCTCCAATATTTTCAGCTAAAATTAGAGAACCAAAAAACATCAATTTGTTTTTGAGAAATTCAGTTGTTGAATACTATACCAAATGGTTGTCCATATTTGATGATTCCGGGTTAAAAGATGATAGCTCTATGAACAGCACTGAAAATTTAATACTTGGTCCTTCTCAAGAGAGCGATGGTGGATTAAATGTTAAAATGGACTTGGTTGATTGTGCTATTGGTTTAAATCCGGGTCGATTATCATCAAAGGCAAATTTGGTTATTCGCAATGGTACTATTGATGTTAAACTTGAAAGAAACATTATAGTTAAGTCTCAATTAAGATCTGCTGTCTTGGTTCTAATTGATGATACCAGGAATATCTTATCATTAGAAGATGCCAAAAGATGGAGAAACATCAATCGTAAACCATCTTGGTCACAGGTTTCATTTTTGAATAGTAGAGGGTACTCATCAGTAGCAAACATCAATTCGTTGCATTTAGAGACTACAATTAAAAAAGATGGACGTGTGAATGAAAAAGGAGGTTTGGATAGTATGATTGAAATGGATATTAATGCTGATTTATTGGATATTGAATTATGTGCTGACTCATCACAATGCTTGGTTCAGTTGATCAATGATTTAAAACAACCCGTTGCCATCAATAATGATTTGAAATATAGATATAAGGTCCCTGATGATCTGAATGTATTTGATGATATTGATAGTGAAACATTTAAATCAACCATTGATGACTTGATTAGCCCTATCATTGGTGGAAGTGGCTCAAACTCCGAACCTTTAAACATCGTTGATAGTTACTATGATGATAATGAGACTGTTAATAACGATGAATATAGGGAAAGCTCAGCAAAGCTATCCGGCTCTGATATTCTGGATAAGTCTTTGGATGAATTGGCAATTAAAGATGAGACCTTGGGAAACAATCCATTTTTCACAGGTGAAAGTAATACAGACGGAGCTGGTTCTTCATCAAATACTGAAAATAAATCAGATAATTCAGATTCAATTATTCTGTTCAATGATGGTCACTTTGAGGATAGCTTGGATTATAGTATCAATCCAATAAAGACCAAAAACCATCCAATGTCATTGTCTTTATACGTCAATCAAATTTCACTAAAGATTTATGATGGTTATGATTGGAAACATACAAGAAAAACAATCAATATTGCTGTAAAACGGTTAGAGAAGAAGGCTGCTGAGGAGAAAGAGAAAAGGGAAGAATCCAATGGTCGGCCAAGAAGGGCATCAAGTTCATCTAATGGTGAAAGGAATGAAGGTCAAGATGAAATTATTGGAGAAACTTTATTTGATTCTATTCATGTTGCATTCCCAATAAATTCAGATCCATCTAAATTAACTGCAAAGATCAATCGTGATCTTCAAAGCAAAGAACCAGAAATTGATGATCAAGAATCAAATGGTATTGATGTTGGTAAGAATAATATAAAGAAGCTAAAATTACGTCGTTCAAAATTCCACAAAATTTTAATCGAACTTCATGAAGTTGAGGCCAAATTTACCATTGTTTCTAATAATGATCCAGTTAGTTCATCAAAACTAAAGAATGACAGAGATTACGAGCTTTTGAATGAGATTGATTTGAAAGTCGCAGATTTTGAAATTATTGACAATGTTCCTACATCAACTTGGAACAAATTTGTCACGTCAATGAAAGACACAGAGAGGGAAGTTGGTGCTTCCATGTTGAGCATGAATATTAAAACTATCAGACCGGTGTTGACTTTGGCTGCCACTGAATTGTTGATGGATGTTCATGTTTTACCTTTGAGATTACACGTTGACCAAGATACTTTAGAATTATTTACAAGATTTGGTGAATTCAAAGATGTTCGTTTCAATTTGGTTGATGAATTTGAAGATGTTATTTTCATTCAAAAATTTCAAGTTAACGCGGTGCATATTAAACTTGATTATAAGCCAAAGAAAGTTGATTATGCTGGATTAAGGTCTGGTCATACCACTGAATTTATGAATTTTTTCATATTGGACGAAGCTGACATGATATTGAAAAAAGTTAAATTGTATGGTGTATCAGGGTTTCCACGCCTTGGCACAATGTTGAATGGAGTATGGATGCCAGATATTAAATCTACGCAATTAAGTGGTGTTTTAGCTGGGTTAGCACCTGTTAGATCTATTGTTCAAATTGGGTCTGGCTTCAAAGATCTTGTTGTTGTTCCTGTTAAAGAATACAAGAAAGATGGTCGTGTTTATCGAAGTTTTTCCAAAGGTGTTCAACATTTCACCAAGAATACCACCAATGAATTGTTAAAATTTGGTGTTAAGATAGCTGCTGGAACACAAACATTACTAGAGCATACAGAACAAGCATTAGGTGGTAATGGTGCCTCATCAAGAGTTTCACAAGAGGTTGGTGTTCGTAAAAGAAGAACAACATCAACAAATGATATTATTTATGAAGAACATGAAGAAGATTACAATTCAGAAGATGAAGATGAAGGTCCTGGTCAAAAGAATGGATTGCTAGCTTCCCAATTGATTGGAAGAAGTTCATTATCAACAACGCCATTACAAAGATCAATTTATCAACCAGCTTTAGAATCATTTGTCGATTTGGAAAGAGACAATGCTGCACGTTCAAGTAGTCGCCATGGTGGATCATCTCCAAGGAATGGCCATAAAAGAGATGTTTTATATGTTGCAACCAGCGATTTTGATCAATTTGAAGATGATTCAGAAGATGAATCGCAAAGAACCATCAGTCTTTATGCTGATCAACCAACGAATTTGAAAGAAGGATTTCAATTAGCTTATGATAGTTTAGGTAGACATTTATTAGTTGCTAAGGATGCTATAATTAATGCCGGTACAGAGATTGGAGATAGTGGTAGTGCCCAAGACAGTACATTAGCTGTTGTTAAAGCTACACCAGTTGCATTAATAAGACCAATGATTGGAGCTACTGAAGCTGTTTCCAAAGCTTTATTAGGGGTAACTAATCAATTAGATCCAGAACAAAGAAAATATATTGATGATAAATATAAGAATTTCAACAAAAATAATAAAAAAAGGTGAATCATAATATTGGAAGCAATAAGTATATAATTTTAATGACAATTATGCATGTTATGAAGATTTATCTGTACAGTGATTCGGAGGAAACGTCTCTATCCGGATATAAATCCGAGTCGCGCAAATCTTTTTTATCATGTAGAAAGAAGTTGAACTCTTATCAGAAGATCCCCTACAAAAGAATCAACCATAAAGTGCTTTTAAAATGATTCATTGTGGAGATAAGCCCTAATAAGGCATACCCAACTAGATACAAAGTGGACGTACTTATCAAATTGATGAACAAAACACACTTCAAGGGGTTTTGTGTTATGGAGTATAAATACTAGAAACTGTGGCTATTTAGCACTCAATTGCTTAATACACTTCAATTATTGTCAAAACTGTGCTTTGTAATAATCACCAAAGTATATAAAAGGAACGATTACACTCAAAAACAACAAAGAGGTTTATATTACTTATCTACAATGACAATTGACTCAATGACAGATTCTTCATTACTTTCACACATTTCAAATCGTGCTAAAGAAAGAGTACTAGTTTCATTTGGAGGTGCTCCTATCCCAGAAACGGTTTCAAAACATCCATCACCAATTTCTTTAGCAGGTGGACGTCCACATGCTGAATTTTTCCCAATTCATAAATTACAATTAGAAATAATTGATGAACCATTTTCAAATAAATTAAAACATAACGTTAATGAAGTTGTTAAGTTTAATGACCAAACACTTGATCTTTCCACTGGGTTACAATATGGTCCTACTGAAGGTCATGAACAAGTCTTGAGCTTTGCTAAAGAGTTGATTAATAAGACTAATCAACCAGGATATGATGATTGGGATTTAATTTTCACAAATGGTACTGGTGATTCATTACATAAAGTTTTCAACTTGTTGATAAACCCAGGAGATGTTGTCCTTGTGGAGAGTTATACATATGTACCAGTTGTGGCAAATATAGTTAACTATGGAGGTATTGTTGTTTCTGCCAAATTAGATTTCAATAAAAAAGGTATTGATGTTGAATGGTTAAGTGACTTGTTGGATAATTGGGGCAATTCAGAATATTCACATTTATCTAAACCAAAAGCTTTATATACGATTCCAACTGGTCAAAATCCAACAGGACTTTCCATCAAAAATGAAGATCGGTCAAAGATTTATAAATTGGCTCAAAAGCATGATTTTATTATAATTGAGGATGATCCATATGGGTACATCCAATTGGGGAAATACACTGATGGTGAAACAAATCAATTTGATAATACAGATGAATATTCATTAGAGAAGTATATTGAAGATGATTTACCAAATTCTTTTATTCAGTTTGATACAGAAGGACGTGTCCTAAGATTAGAATCATTTTCAAAAGTGTTTGCACCAGGAACAAGATTAGGATTTATTGTTGGATTGAAAAATTTCATCAAACATATTTCAAGACATACATTAGTTTCAACAAGGGCAAGCTCTGGAGTTTCACAGATTTTATTGAATAGTGTTTTAGAACATGTTGGAGGAGTTGAAGGTTGGTTGAAATGGAATATTAAGATCTCTAAAGAGTATACCAAGAGAAAGAATTTATTGTTGAAGACATTATTTGATTCTGATGCGTTTACGAAAGGTCAATTCGAAGTTATTGAGCCTGAAGCTGGTATGTTCATCATTATAAATGTTAATTTCCCTGAAAATGAAGATGGTGATTATAGAGAGCCATTAGAACAGTTAAGATATAAGACTTTAGAAAATGGTGTTTTAGTTGTTTTAGGTAAAAACATGGCATTTGAAGAAGAATATTCTAAGCAAGCCAAGTTTTTGAGATTGACAATAGCCACACAAGATAGTGATGGAGAGATTATTGAAGGTGCTAATAGATTAACAAAAGCCATTAGTGAATATTTCACTAGATAAAGTCTATATGTTTTAGTCAGAGATTACATAATATTTATTTTTAATGTACACTGTTAAGGGACACACCCACGTACTAAAAATTCCCCACAGAGCACAACGCCAAAATAATTGATCATTTGAAGCAATTTTGAAGGCCCATTTCTTGGTGAACCGTGTACCGTGGATAGGCTGTATTGATTAGACCTCGGTAACAGAGCACCATGAATGAATGACAGAGTAAATTCTCACAGTGTAGTGCTTTGACAGGTTGGCGGTTAATTTAGTTGATCAGTCGAAGCATGGAGTGAAAAGTATTTAAACTTCTGACAAGTATCAATTTCAATTAATTGAACAAACTTTTGTAAACAAGAGGATCAAGAAACAAAAAGATCAGAAAAGTATTAAACAATGAGTGCATTTAAATCAGAACCAATCTTTGAAGGAATTGAAAAACAATTGAAAACCAATACAGAACAGACAAACAAATTGGTTAAGAAAGTGAGTATAACCGCCACATTCAACTAATCATTGATCTAACCGCTATTCAAGACTAAATCAGTTATTGTTTTCAACTTGAAGAATAAAAAAAATGAAACAAAAGCATGGACATTAGATTTGAAAAATAATGGTTCATTAACATCATCAAAACCTGAAGATTTTGATTCAGCAGATTTAGTTATCACTTTAAAAGATTTAGATTTTAAAAAATTAGTTGCTGGTAAATCAAATTCACAAAAATTATTCCTTGGTGGTAAATTAAAAGTTAAAGGTGATGTTATGAAGGCTGCAAATATTGAAAGTATTTTGAAATCAGTTGCGCCAGTTCCATCAAAATTGTGAATTTATATGCATTTGAATGAATTTGAATGAATTATGATTAGTGGGTGAGCTGAAGTTATCATTGTTTCAAATAGTGATGAGTTAGTTGAAGAAATACTGTGTTTTATGCTGTTTATAATTGTTTTGTGAATTTATGGATATACTTTTTAAAGAGTCAGGACTGATGTGAATGATATTGGTAGTTTAAACGTGCGAATTCTTCCTTGAACTGGCGAGTTACAACATAATTGAAGAAGAAATTGTGAATATCTCGAAGATTGAAGACGTTAATTTGTAAATAAATGATGAAAATGATTTCAATTGTGGAGTTGGATTACTTGTAAGTTGATGCCGTTCTCAACAAAACCCAACAAGGTACTCTTTCTCAGTTGATGATGGCCTTCGAGAGCTTATAATCTAAGAACCAAGATCTAGCCCATGTATAATGATTCATGATGAGTTTAAATTGTGGATGGAGTCCTAGTTTAATGACCGTCAAGAAAATTAAAGCGCCATACAAAGTTGAGAACTTTCACGCCCGCACTAATAATAGGCTTTTTTCACTCAAAACCTGGGGTAGTTAAGGTAATTTAAATGATGTTGGTGTGGTTATAGTTGCCATTAGGGTACTAATATTGGTGACGATATTGTGGTGTTTTTGAGAGTGTGTAAATGTAAATGGAACTTCTGAAATGTATTCAAAGATGAGCTTCGAGATTCTAAAAGTTATGCTAACCGAGTCAGTTGAGCTAATGAATTCTACTATTGTCTAATTTCTATGACACATGTCAAACGGTTCAACAGGTGAAAATTTTTCCTAGAGATTGTGTATTAATGGGCTCTTCTTGGACAGATAGCTGTTTATTTGATCGCTTGATAGATAACGGTTTGGTGAATTTACAGCCAGGTCTGAGCCTTGAGGTGGTATGAATCATTGTGATGGAAGTACCTCTTGAGGATGTTGTAAGAGAATCAGAGATGATGTTAGCCATATACACTTGTAATACTCTTTCTTCTCTTTGACTATTATCTGAATTAATTGTACTGTGTTGATGATTCTGTTTCCAACACTAGACCGCTACGAATTGTTGCAACTTGAGCCCGCTCGGCTAGGCTTCCTCTTGCGGCACCAGAGGGCTGTGAGTGGGCGTACCGGAAAGAGGACTAATTCGGGTATTGAAGGTGACACATTGGAATTGTATGGAGATGAGATGAGATGAGGAATCAGGAAGCAGTGGTTGATGGTGATGGAGAGGGAAGAGTAGAAGTAGAAGTAATAGAAGTAATAATGTAATAGAGTATTATAGTAATATGAGATGGTTTAAAGTAGAGTAGGTATTAGCTAGTTACATAATCCCTTAGCTAACCTCTGTCTTTTCGCTACGTGTCTTTGCTCCAGTATGGGAATGGCTCTGAACTTGTTGATGAATACCCAAAATCCTTCCAGATGGCGGCACCCCTCCGAAAACTATAAATACTCACCACATTCCACAAGCCATCATCATCCCAGAGCGCTTACCTCTTGCACACCCATGTAATAGAACTATCATTACTATTATTACTACCCAATTACAATATGACAATCAACAACTTGACTGCTTCACCTCCTCCAGATATTAGCGCCCTATCAATCACTTCTTTGAAATCTGGTTACAAGAACTTACCTTTCATTGGTAAAGAGACTCAATTTGAAAAAGTTCTGGATCTCATTGATAAATTTGGTTTCATTCCTGAAAATTTGATCGAATCTGAAGCTAAATGGTTTTATGAAAGTTTAGGTATTGATGATGTTTATTTTGAAAGAGAATCTGCTGAAGGTATTGTTAGTCATATCCATGCATTATATTCTGCTAAATTAGATGCTTTTGCTAGAAATGATTTAGATTCTCCATTTATTCATCACAAGAGGGAAAATCAAGATCATGCTGTTTATTTTGATACTTCAATACCTGGTACTGATCAATTCAAATTAACAAATTATGAAAAAAGAATTGATGAAAATTATTTGGATCAATTGGACAAGTCCTATAGAGTGGAAAGTTTCAATGCTCCTTTGGTTTTAAACAATTCTCAATTTGATACAAATGGTAGCTCATCAACTGTCACCAAGACTGTTCGTGCTCATTTTGTTTATGAAAACACTTTTCAACATGATTCAATTTATGATCAAACTTTTTTGAAAATCATTAGTCCAAACACTAAACAATTATACGATGAAATAATTGAACAAGCTTTAAAACAAACTGGTCCATTGATTAAACATTTCCCTGTGGAAAATTCTGATGAACATCGTATAATTATTGGTTATCAAAAAAATTCAACAAAGAAATATTTCAGTGCTCTTTCTGCCCTAATCAATTACTACAAATTGGATCAATCAAGAAAATATGTTGAAAATTTCTCAAATGGTGTTACAATTATTTCAATTTATTTGAAACCAACTTTGGAAACTAATCCATTATCAATTTATCAATTGATTAAAGAGGCAAGTTTATTATATACAATTCCTCATGGGGTTTTCTATGAAAGTTTTGCTTCAAATGAATTTTCTTTACAAGAATCAGTTTATGCTCATACTGGTGTCATCTTTGTTACTCATTTCTTGAATAGATTAGGTCCTGAATATCAATCATTATTGAAATTACTAGATCCAAAACAATCTCACCAAGTTGCAGAATTATTATCAAGTTTAAAGAAAAGATTAAGATCTGAAACTTTTACTCAATCTTTTATCTTTGAAGTTTTCAACAGATATAAATCAATCATTAGTCAATTATTTAGATCTTTTGCTGATGTTCATTATATCAAATCAAATTTGGAGAAAACTTTATCATACCAAAGATTATCTCAAATTCCACCAATTAAGAATGAAGATGAATTTAATCAATTATTATTGAAAAACGTTTTCAATGAGAATGATGCTTTAGTTTTACGTGCTTTATTCATCTTCAACAAATCAATCTTGAAAACAAATTTCTTTACACCAACTAAAGTGGCAATTTCATTTAGACTAGATCCATCATTTTTACCAAAATTTGAATATCCAGAATTACCTTATGGTTTATTCTTTGTTGTTGGTTCTGATTTTAGAGGATTCCATATTAGATTTAGAGATATCGCTAGAGGTGGTATTAGAGTTGTTAGATCAAGATCCTTAGATGCTTATGAAGTTAATGTTCGTAATTTATTTGATGAAAATTACAATTTGGCATCCACTCAACAAAGAAAAAATAAAGATATCCCAGAAGGTGGTTCAAAAGGTGTAATTTTATTAGATTTAGATGCTCAAGAAAACCCAAGATCAGGATTTGAAAAATATGTTGATTCTTTAATTGATTTGTTAATTAAAAATGATATCCCAGGTATTAAGGAACCAATTGTGGATCTTTATGGAAAACCTGAAATTTTATTCTTGGGTCCAGATGAAGGTACTGCTGGTTTTACAGATTGGGCAACTTTACATGCCAAAAAAAGAGGTGCTATATGGTGGAAATCTTTCTTAACTGGTAAATCTCCTCAATTGGGTGGTATTCCTCATGATGAATATGGTATGACTTCATTATCTGTTAGATCTTATGTTCAAAAAATCTATGAAACTTATAATTTACAATCTACTCCAATTCAAAAATTCCAAACTGGTGGTCCAGATGGTGATTTAGGTTCAAATGAAATCTTGTTATCCACTCCAAATGAACAATATGTTGGTATTGTTGATGGTTCTGGTGTTATTGGTGATCCAAATGGTTTAAACAAGGATGAATTGAAAAGATTAGCCAAGGAAAGAAAAATGATTAACAATTTCGATAAATCATTGTTATCAAAAGATGGTTTTATTGTCTTGGTTGATGATAAAGATGTTCAGTTACCAAATGGTGAAGTTATTAACAATGGTGTTTATTTCAGAAACTTGTTCCATTTGAATTTGAAGAAATATTTTGGTCATGTTGATTTATTTGTTCCATGTGGTGGTAGACCAGCAGCTATTGATATTGATAATATCAACAATTTGATTGATGAAAATGGAAAGTCTGTTATTTCTTATATTGTGGAGGGTGCTAATTTATTCATTACTCAAAATGCTAAAATTGAATTCGAAAAAGCTGGTGCAGTTGTTTTCAAAGATGCTTCAACTAATAAAGGTGGTGTTACTTCATCTTCATTAGAAGTTTTAGCTTCATTAGTCTTGAATGATGAACAATTTTTATCAAAATTCAAAAATGGTACTGATTTCTATAGAGAATATGTTCAACAAGTTCAAAAAACTATTGTTTCAAATGCTGAAAAAGAAGCTGCTTCTTTATTGAAATATAAAGCAAAGACTGGTTTATCATTACCTGAAGCTTCAGATAGTTTATCAAATGAAATTAATAAATTGTCAGATTTGATTGCACAAAGTGATGATTTATGGAATGATTTGAACTTAAGAAAGACTATTTTCACTCAATCAATTCCAAGCTTATTATTACAAGAGGCTGGTTCAGTTGATGAAGTATTGAAAAGATTACCAGATGCTTATTCAAGATCTTTGTTTGCAACTGCTATCTCAACTAGATATATTTATGAAGATCATGATCCTCAAAATGTTATTGAATTGTTACAATTCTTGAAGAAATTAGGTTCTTCAGCCTGAATATGAAGTTTGTTTATAAAAAAAAGTTTAATTAATGTGATTTGTTTTTGGTTTTAGAACTCTCTGTAGTCTACAAAATTTTTCAACAAACCAGTGTTTCTTATTATAAAGTTTAATTAAAGATCTATACCTTCTCACATCAACAAAGCAGCAGCAGCGGCAAGAATAGCAGCACCACTCAAACCAACCTTATTACCCAAATTATCAGTAGCAGTGGAAACATGAACAGATGAAGTTGTTGAATTATCACTTGAATTTGAAGCACCTTTCTCAGCCAATTCAATATTAGCACATGCAATTCTTGAAGTATTTGCAAAATGAACAGTGATTGATCTTTTACCATCAGCGAAATAATAAGGACTTTTAGAATTCAATGAAATAAAAGGTTCAACATAAGATAATTTAGCCTCAGTAGAATCGATTTTACCATGTTTACCTGATAAATCACCAGCTTCACATAATGCATTATTTCCTTGACTTGGACAAGCAGTTGCATTACCATGGTTTGGATTGAAATGTGCTAAAGTAGCAGCACAAGAACCATTACTTGGAACAGCAGCTTCATGAATGTGATATAAAAATGGACCACCAGAACTTGGCAAACCTTTTAAATCCACATCAACTTGAACTGAACCATTTTTCAAACCAGAAAATTTAACAGATCCACTAACTGAATGGGAACCACCTTCTGGGAATTCAGCAACAGCGATTGAACCTTCAGGAGAATCAGTACTTTCAACAGCTGGGGCAGCTAATGATAAAGCTGGTAATGATGATAAAATGAATTGTTTAATAGAGACCATTTTTTGGATATAGGGTTTATTCCAATCGAATTACCACTAGGAACCAAAAGAGCCCCCCAATCTTGTATTTATACAAAACGCATGTCCAACTTTCTTCCCACTCGTGATTCAACCAATGAACATGCACACCCAATTATACGTAGACAACCCCGTTGTTGTTGTTGTTGTTGTTTCTTGCTCCCTGACGGTTTAATCCGGTCAAATTGATCGACATGTGTTGGGTTGAAGAGAAAAAGGGTTCCAAATTGGGTCAAAAGTGTTGAAGTAGTCTCACTCAAAAATAATCAAGCATGGGTTATATGAAAAGCAGTTGGGTTTAATTCCTCAGGCATTCTCTAACCTCTAAACTCTAACCATCATAACAATCACAAATCACAGCTATTCACTCAGCAATTATCACGTCTCAGGCACAGTTCTCTTTATTCTCCAGTTCAAATTAGGGTGTAAAATTAAGCTTAAAATCTCTTGGATAATTTAAGGTCCCACTTTCCAAATGGCAGAACCAATCATGAACCAATCACGTACCAGGTGAAATACCTGAGAAGTTACACATCGGAACAATTCAGTCATAACCAACTAACAGCCATGTATACAGCCCATGTTACCCATGTTCTTTATTGGTTAAAACGTTTTCTTCTTTGAGCCTCTAATCCCCGATCATCACTGGAAACGGTGTCGCTTCTTATCCGAGTTATCTATTTCATCAATGGTCCAGAACTTGGCGGGAATGAATAGTATATGGTTTGTGACAAATTGATTTCGAAATCAACCAGAATTACTTTGTTCTAATTAGAGTGTATCTAAAATATTAACTTAGAGGAGGATCTTGCTCGATATTTAAATGATCTTTTTGTCGCACCCCAGACTGTTTAAATTTGCGCGTATGTTAACAACCAACTACACACTCTTTTATTTGCTCATGGTCCAATCGCAACACTAATATTGTTGGAATTACCACCACTCGCTGAGGAAATAGAGTGAAAGCTACAGCTCAAACCCTGTCATTGTTTGATGCAATTAATAAGGCCATTCATTTGGGAAGAATAAGAAAGAGTAAAAAGTTAAAGAAAAAAAGTGTAAAGGTTAAAGTTGAAAAAAAATCTAAAAGAACCATCTAATTGAACAAGTTGAATGGACTCAGATGTAAACCATCTTGTATATGATAGAGAATTCACATAGAATCTTCTAAAACAAGTAACTTAAAATGAAACCACCAATAACTGAACCAATGATACCATAAGAATCTTGTAAAGCAACACCAATATTTTCTGAAGTTGTTTTACCATCTTCACCACTTGTGTTACCACTAACATTACTATAAGTGTAATTGAAAGTTGAGTTTCCAGACAGATAGTTAGATCTATGTTTTTCAATATCTTCATAAATCAATTCATCTAATGAACTTGATTCTTCATCATCAACTTCAGTGACAGCATCACCACCTTCATCGGATCCACTTTCAGAATCAGAAACTTCTTTGGCTTCTTTTTCTAGTTCTTCCTCTTCAACAACTTCTTCAACAACTTCTTCATATGGTGTAGTTGAGTTTTCATCACGACGAGAATAATCTGAAGTTGATTTTTCTTCATCATCTTCACCATCTTCATTATAATCTGCAACTTCATCAGATTCTTCAACTCTATCTTCGATTTTAACACCAGTGACTTCTTCATATTGTCTAACTTGTTCAGCTTCAGCTTCATAATCCAATAAAACTAAATCTTCTGGTTCTTTTGAAACTTTAATGTTGGCACAAGCTAATTTATCCAAATTTTCAAGATGAATATTGATGGCTTTATTACCAATATATTGTGGATGACTTGGATCTAATGATAAATAAGGATCATAGAAGTAAGTTTCAAAACATGTTGTGTTGATTAAACCATGTTTACCTGATAAATCACCAACTTGACACAAAGAATCATCTTTTTGAGCTTCACAATCTGGAGATGCACCATAAGGATTGAAATGTTTACCAGTAGCTTCACAATCTCCATCTTCACCGACAGGGTTTTCATGGATATGATATTGGAAAACACCAGCATTTTTTGGTAAACCAGTGACATCAACATGAACTTTTGCAGTACCATTAACTGAATAGAATTGAATGATACCAACAACATTTTGACTAAAAGCAGAAGGGAAATCAGCTCTCAAAACAACATCAGTTGGATTATTGGTGATTTCTTTGGCTTTTTGAGCCATGACAACAACAGCAGAAGCTAAAGAGAATAAAACTGTTTTTGAAAACATTTGAGCTGGTTTAATCTTAGTTAAGCTTTGATAACACAAGATGGTGACACTAAGAAGCTGTTGAAAGAAGGAAAACTCAAACTTGTTTCACCATTGTGATATTATAAACAATTTCAAGATTCAACTGCCACAAAAATGAAATTTGATTAAAAACTGTTTTTGTGTAACATCCACTATAATTTTGTAACTCCTAACCACCAACACAACGATTCTACAACCAGTGCTCAAATATGAAAATACCATAAATTTATAATCCCTAAACCAAATAATAAATAAATATACCAGTGCATTCAATACACCATGCAAAATATGAGAATGTATAACAAAAAAGTCAAAGCAATATATGCAACATAAAACTGAGAATTGAAGAAAACTCGACATTCATTACACCATGAATGATTCACCACAACCACAGGTACCTTTTGAATTTGGGTTCTTGAAGATAAATCTTGAACTAATCTTATCATCTAACCAATCCATTTCTGAACCGACAATGGAGAATAAAGCTTTTGAATCAATAACAACTTTAACACCATCTTGTTCAACAATTTCATCAAATTTGTTTGGTTCTGTGATGTATTCCAGATGATAAGTTAAGCCTGAACAACCACGGTTTCTTACACCAATTCTAATTAGTTTTGGTTCCGGTTGGTCTAATAAACCCTTCAAATGTTGAATGGCGGTTGGTGATAATGTGATAAGCGCCTTACGTGGCTTCAATGTTCTTCTTACTCTTTTCTTTGGTTTAGCTGCAGGTGTTGTCGCCGCCTCAGCTTGTTTTCCGTGTTCTTTGACTTGTTTCTCTTGTTGTTGTTCCTTTTCAACAGGCGATGTAGGTTGCTTTTGAGGGTTCTTTTTCAGTATATCTTTGAAACTTCTTGAAGTTAATGAGTGTCTTTCCCATCCTGAGGGTGGCTGAGATTGTGAATGCTGTTCACTTGAAGCTTGTTGAGATTGTTGGCGATTTTGGAATTTGTATGGAATATATGACACTTCATTATTTGCTAATGGGGCTGTTTGCATGAATCGTCTTGTAGACTTGGATGAATCAGATATTCTTCTGACAAAACAGGAGTATGACTGTTGTGGTTTAGGTATTAGTCTCAACATTTGTACTGTAATGTGTGTATTCTTGAATATGAATTGAGTTGTATAATCTAAGGGTGGAGGAAATGACTAATTATATGATCTTGAGATCTCAGTCAAGTATGAGTATTGAATATTAGAAATGGGTTAATGAAGTAATAAGCAAATTAACTGAGATTATATCAACGGTTCCTTATATGACATAAACTGATAGATGGTAGCAAATTGTTGTTCTTTACTTATTCAATTCCTTTACAATCTCAGATATGATCAATGATCAAGTTTTTTATACAAAGGCTCCCCTGGCCAAAGGTTGTGAGCTGTCTCCGGGTAACACTGAGTCATGTGACTCACAAGGTGACCTTCAGCCAATCACAGAAAAGGAAACTGTCAGCACATTACCCAACATCCCAACACCACACAGTGCTTTTCGCGAAGGTCATCACAGTTTCGCACCCTTTCCCGATTCCCGATCCTGGGCTTTTGAACCCGGAGCCATAGCTCGCGTACGCGTATCTACACAGAACAATCACAAAACAAATGTCAAATATTACACAAAAATGCAAATAATTATGAATCTTTTTTTAAATTTCTCCACTCTACGTGTACACAAAACATTACAATGGGCTTGTTTCTCTCTTCAACCAAGCATGTTCACATGAACTCTTATCCAAGTCTCCATTGAGTAAACTCCAAATCTTTTTATGATAATCATTAATGGACTTTTTCTCTTCTGGTGTTAGTAGCTTAGCATTAATCAATTTCTTACAATATGGAACCAATGTTAAGTTTCTGAATTTCAAAAATCCCTTATCACCAAACTTCAAATTAGTTGGTTCAACCAACATATCATTCTCAATTCTTATACCATATTTACCATCTTCGTAATAACCTGGTTCATTTGTAACAATATTGCCGGCTTTCAATGGGTAATTTAATAGAGTTGTACGACCACCAATACCGATTGGACCTTCGTGAACGTTCAAATAAGCACCAACACCATGCCCTGTACCATGTCTATAATCTAAACCTTTTGACCACAAAAATTGTCTAGCAATAACATCAATCATATAACCATCAGTGCCTTCTGGGAATGTCAATTGTTCTAATGCTAAATTACCTTTCAAGACATAGGTGTAATTATCAATTTCCTCTTGTGATGGTGTAGTGAAATGCATAGTTCTTGTAATATCTGTAGTACCTTCATAAAATTGTGAACCCGAATCACATAAATATATTTTGGAAGGATCAATCATTTGACAATTATCCTTTTCTGGAGAATAATGGATAACTGCAGCATTTGCACCTGTAGAACTAATAGTTTCAAATGAATTACCTTGATAATTTGGTTGTTCATTTCTGAATTCAATCAGTTTCTCAGCTGCACTATATTCATCAATCAATTGTTCATCTTTAACTAACGTCTTCTCTAACCATGCAAAATATTTAGCTAATGAAATACCATCTTTAAATTGCGCATTTTCAAAATTCTTAATTTCAACCTTGTTTTTAACAGATTTGAAAAAATCAATTGGTGAATGAACTTGTTTGAATTTACAGTTGTTTAAATTACGGACAATTTCCCATGATGCAGTTTCTGGTATTAATATTGTCTCTTTAGCATCTTTCAAAATTGTTGTAGTTTCTGACAATTCTTTCCAAATTTCTTCATATGGATACACTTTAATGTTTGATTCTTGGAAAAACTTCTTAATTTCAGGGGAATAGTTATTGTTTGCAAATAGTTTAACTTCTGAATTATTTATAACCAAGTACGAATAGAAAACAGGGTTATATTGGATATCTGAACCTCTTAAATTTAATAACCAAGCAACCTCATCTAATGCAGATATCAAAATTGATGATGTGTGACTTTTGGATAATTCTTCCTGCAATCTTTTCAATTTTGATTGGAAACTTTCACCAGTATATTCTTCTTTTAAATTAATCAATTCAAAGCTTGGTCTTTTAGGAACATCTTCAAATTCACCCCATATTTGATCAACTAGATTAGTTTTAACAGGAACTAACTCAACTTTAGCCTCACTGCCTTCTTGTTCAATTGATTTTCTAATTTGTTGCTCAAAAGCTAAAACACCTTTATAACTGATTAATTTTGGATCAATCCCAATTTTGACCAATTTTTTACCACTACCTAATGATTGTTCAATGGCTTCATTAATAGCCCATTCTTGCCATGTTGGTTCACCTTTTGCACCTTGTTTTAACAAAATCCAGTTATAATCCAATTCTTGACTAGCTTGATTGAAATATCTACCATCAGTACTTAATGCACTTTTACCTTCTGGAATTTCATTGAAATTTAACAAATCTCTAGTGATAATAGCAACACCTGCACTTCCAGTAAAACCTGAAATGAAACTTCTTCTTTGGTCAGCTAATGAAACATATTCAGATTGATGTTCATCTTCGCTTGGAACAATATAAACGGCAACATCATTTTCTTTCATCTTATATCTTAATTTTTCCAATCTTTTAGTAGTATTGACATTCTTGGTGTTACAGATAGTATCAGATGAGTAGATACTTTCACTTGATAAGGATTTTCTTGGACTGGTATTGAAAGATGAGCTTCTTCTAGAATATTGCTTCAAAAACAAAGACGTTCTTCTATTCTTTCTGGACAACAACCCTGGGGAACAAGTGCAGTTTGAGCAAGGTCTTTGACCTCTTGCAAAACCAGCGTTTGGACCACTAGGAATGGCGCTTGAACTTGGACCAACACCACCACTAATACTAGGGGCGCCTGCGTTCAATGAGAACATGGATGGCTTTGTAGTGACTTTGTTTGACATCTTTGTAACTGATCTATTGAATATCAAAGCTTGACTAGTCAATCTTTTTAGCATACAACACTCTCAACAAGATGGTTTAAAGATTAAATGGGTTAAATTTTGCTGAAGTTTGAGCCAGCAGACCTGCTAACTTTTCTGAAAACCGGCTGTTGCTCCAAAACGAGTCAATTATGGTATGAACACGCCAACACGAGGGCTGATAGGCCCACGCGCTTGGGAGGCCAGGCAGGGTGGCGAGCGATAGGCAACCCGCCCAGAAGGCTAGGCTAGGCTCATCCTCTGCCTGGACGGCAAACTCTGGCTTATCAGCTTAAAATCTGTCAAGCCAGAGGTTTCACTGACAGCTAAATCAAACCACTCACAGAGTCATGTGAGTTTCATTTGGCTCATGCGAACAAGCTTCAAGTGATGTATAGTGGATGAAGGTGCAAGGTGATCATGGACGGTACTCAAGGCTCAAGGCTCAAGGTATATTTTTCAGTATCCAATTCACCCCAGGTCCAGGATACGTTTTTTGTTCAAAGCCCTATTGCTTAAAATTATTGTACATATCTTCATGACAGCTGATGAGCTTTGCCATTTTGACAGCCATTTCAACTCTGCCAACAGTAAACGGGTCAACTTCAAACTTTGTCTCATCACCAATACTTTTCCAAAGTATGTACTACAAGATAGGTTCTACATCACATATTTAGTCTAAGTGTTGTGATTTTGTAAATGCTAATTATTGAAAGTGTTATACACAACTGTTTCTTTTCACAACTTGTGGATCATATAAAACAACATGTATGCTTTCAATTGAGAAACTTGATCCCATGTCATTAATGTAACAACTGAATCATCGAATTTAAACCATTTCCCTTCATTATTTTTGATCACTGTGACATAGTGACCTGTATTAACAGATCCGATATGACAAACAACACCAAAGAGTTCATAGTTTAAATAAGGATTCTGCTTCTTATCCACTTCATAGTTTGTGGCGAACTCACTCATATTTATAAACATTGGGAATTCAATAAAGCTTTCAATTTTAACAGATTGATTATTATGCTTGAATCTCTTCAATTGAATTGATAAGACATTTGGAAACTTCAGAATTGTCAACTTCTTGGTTGCATTAGTTCTTGTTTGACAATTAGAACAACTGTACTTTATATCTAAATTTTCAGATTTGGTGAAATTTCCAAGACAGTCGATCAACCCACTATTATCTGATATTTCTAAGGATAGATCAATTATTGGATCAATTGTCTTTGTGACATTGCCACACTCTAGACAAGTAATTGCACTCTGTAAATCACTTGAAAATGCTTTATGAACAACACAATCACACGAAGAACTGTTATGATTATTAGCACCTGTTAAGTCATGATGTAATTGATTCACTAAGAATTGCCAGAATTCATGTGCATCTTGTTCAGAGTAACCAGCTAGTGATTTGTTGGTCTTCCATGCTGCGTTTAATAATGAAGTCGGACCAAAACCTGATGTCTTATTAGTTGTATAGAAATCCGTGAAAATTTCATCAACGCAACAAGTGATACATTCATTTTTCTGCTTAGAGCAATCCATATGCCCTTCTGTCATGAAAAATTCTCTTATTATTGGATTATGGATAAATGTTTGTAATACACTGCTCATGAAACATGTAGACCCCATATTGACGAATCCCCGAAGACCAGTAGTGGCTTTGAATGTGGTTGGACGGGAATATTCAGTGATCAATTTTTCGTTCTCTTCTTCAGTTTGATTATCTGTATGTTGTAACTCATCTTTGAGATTGTTAGTAAAAATGAATAATTTTTCTTCATGAAGAACACGTACTATTATGATTTCCAATCATATTTAGACGAACAGCTTCTAGCTGTGGATCATTTGTATAGTCACCACATTTGAAGCAAAATAAATAACCCAACTGTCCATCTATTCCTGTAAATATGTTAGTCAAATGTTTTATATTTCCATGATCCGAAAAACACCACATACCAAATATATGACCAGCGAGCTTAGCATGTTTGATGAAATGATGCTTGTGCCAACATCCAACATGAGGACACTGAAGACACATAAATGTATTGCCTAGATTTGTAGAACAATCTCGACATTTAACCGCCCTGGTTTTCAGCTTCAATATCTTGTGACGATCAACCTTGCTTTTATTTCCTTTAATGTTGACAAATGACGGCATGTTTAAACTTGAAATTGTGTTGAAGCTGGAGACTTTAGCAGCTAGTCCATAGTTCCTTATCACTGTGTCTTTGGCGTTTGAGTTTAGAACTTGTGAAAGATGAGAACATGGCTTTAGTGTGATGCATTGTTGTTTGGAGATGATTGGCGTAGATGATGTTGAGGTGGTTGGTGTTTCTGGTGAAAATGGTAAAGGCGTCTTGGATGACATCCTTGATTGAGTTCTTCAAACTTTTCCCCTAGCCTGAATCTGTATGAATGAAGCTCTTTTGGATGGAATACTCTTGATATTTTTTTTTTGCTCCAAGCAACACTAGGTACAGTATATGAATCAACTAATTCGATAACACCCAAAGATTCTGACACTAACACTAAACAAAATTTTCCTTGAAGTGTTTGGATCCTTCGAGCACTTGATCCCTTAAGAATTAAATTCAAAGAGTGCAACCTCAGTAATAATGTGAGAAGTTTGTATACCTTTTTCCAAATTCTGTCTGAAACAAAATGCCTTCAAGCTGTGAAAAATGGTTCAAAAATTGACAGAATATCCTCTACTGTGTGTATATAAGGTAATTCCGATGTTCTCTTAATATACATATAATGTTACAATTAGTGGATTCTTGATTCTTCTTATAGTTGATGTGAAATGTTGAGTATTGATGAATTGTGCATAATTGGTTATTCTGGTTATGTAATACCTGACATTCCCCCCCTCATTTCTGAGTATTTATTGAATGTAATAATATTAAATATGATGAAACTTGATTTGGAACTATATTGTGTTGTCTTTTGTTAACCGGTGTTCAATTGGTTGTGATTGAATATGAAAGAATGAGTGAAGTACCTATAGATTTAAAAAGAAATGATTCTTGAATGGTGTGGAGGTTAATGTCTTTTGAATTTCAGGACCTGAGTATTTCTTGGTGAGAAAATCTGAGCAGTTTGAGATACCTGAAATATGATGGAATGTAACAATGTTATCTTCTTTGTAGCATTTTAAGTTGTTTAAATCTATTGTAG